TAATGTTCCTCCCTGCCTTGCCTCAGAGGAGCTGCGTGCCTATGCATCTCTAACCCTACACCTCCTCCCTGGCACTCTATAAAGCTAATTTCTTTAACTCCCCGCTTTCACTGTCTTTTTCTATCTTCTCCCTCCACCTTTTATTTCTCCCTCTAGAAACATCACCTTTAATTTCTCACATTTTTGAACATAAAAAGAAGCAGTGCCTTTTCTGACAATTTCCAGAGGAGATATGCAGTTCCTGTCCGTGCATTGAAAACATACTTTAGAGTAAAGGTTGCGAGGAAATCCCCATGTACTATAATGTTAAGACTACAAACATCAAGGCTGCGTGTTGAAAGGATCAATCATGGAGAGAAACAACTGTCTTTCTTCCTACTGTAATGAAATGACACCTGGAAAACATTTGTGGAGTAGTGTAAGTCTGTCCCCTACTGGCTAAAAGCAGAAAAAAAAAAAACTTTTCCTGCAAAGGGCATAAGGAGATTTAAAGCAAAAGGTTTTATTTGTGTTGAAAGAGATCTCCTCTCCTATTTTTCTCTCTCTTTTTTTTTTCATGCAAATATTTAAAGACGGAATAAAATGGGATGATGCCACCAACATCAAACAGCTGATCCCCTCCTCTACAGCTGCTCTCATTTTTAAGCAGCAAAATAAATTCGAAGATAAGGTAAAAACAGTCGTGCAGAAATCTGAATATTTTTATTTACCCAAAGCATGTCTCTCAATTTGTCTCCTTTCATTACAGTGTTTTTTCTTTCACTTTTTGAATGAGCTCAGAAAAGAAGTACAGGACAACAGCGCCCCCTGCTGCATCTGCAAGGCAAAGGAGGAAACCCTCGCACACTCTCAGGGGAAATTGCCCATTAAAATCCAGCACTACGTGATAATGAATACCAGGCCTATGGTAAAGGGCTTGCATTAAATATTTACACTCCTGGTTAATATTTCATATGGTAATTTTGTATTTAAATTGGATTTAATATTTAATATAAATACAGAGCTAAGTGGGGTGTACTATTCTCAAACACCGATCCAGACACCTTCCATATGACTGGAGGGAGGGAATATGACACGGACAGCAAACATATGTAGATCCTCCAGGCTAGAACACACACGCACAAAGCAGCACACACAGGCAGACTGTTCACACCTGCAGCACAGGTATTTGTCAGTTTTCTCCTTTGGGATGAAATTAGAAAGGTCAGAGCCACTCTTTTGAGAGTCTGAGGAAGTCACAGGCTTTTGTCTCAAAGAAAAAAAACTCTCTGGGTGTTATTTTCATTTATATTATCGAATGAATCTTCACCTGAATCAAAAGATGCAACGTGCCAACAGTGCACAGAGTCTCCAGTCAGTGAAAGTCACAACTAAGACCAAAGTCAGAGGAGATTATTGACCATATTCTGCAGACTCTGTAGACATGTTTACTGTTTTTAAACAGTTTTGATGTGCTCTGCTGACTCCTTGTGAATGCATCTCAGTTTTATTATAATAATAATCACATAGAGGTGCATATCATGAAATCAGAATGCCATAAAAAGGTACCGTACTTCATTGCTTAGTTCAAAAAAGCAAACTTTCACATATTCCGTTTGTGCCATGTATATTAAGCCTCGAAATATATTGTCTATTTTTGTTTTAACATTTGGCTCATAGCTCATAAACAACAATTTGGCTCGTAGCTCATAAAATCAGAAATCCAGTTTCTTAAATTCATAGAATATCTTCCAAAATCAATCAAATGAATTCTTTACAGACAGACATACTCAGTACTTGGGGCTATTTTACTATAAATTTCTGAATCAGTGTAATGTGGTATGGAGGCAATCAGCCTTTGGCTCTGCTGAGGCTCTCTGAGGGGTTCAGGTCAGGCCGGTCTGCTGGCCAATCCAGCACAGTAATACCATGGTAAGTGAACAGTTTCTCATAGTTTGGCGCTGTAGGCAGGTGCCAGGTCCTGCTGGAAAAGGAAAGCAGACCCCATCACACCCCAAATCATCCCAGACTGTGTAAACTTCCTGCTGGACTTCAGACAGCTTGGATCTGTACCTCTCCACTCTTCTTCCAGACTCAAGACACGGAACATCTGTAGCATTTCTAAATAACAATATTGCTCCCAAATTTAGTCCTTTATGTTCTGATTAGAAATTTACACATTCTGTGTCATCGCTGGTGGGGAGGTCTATATACAGACATTTTGCATCAACAAGTCGGCCCAGGTTTGCTTCTAGCCTGTGGCTTCTTTCCTAAATGTCACTCCCCACCCTCTCACCCTGTTTCCTGCTTCGTCCCCCGCTGCCCCATCCTTTCAAAACAAAGTCAGAAAAAAAGACATTTCTGCGAACAATATCATTTACCAGCAAACACTACTTATTTGGCTAAGAGCATTGTTTTCCAGATGATGGGCTGCAGCCTTTGAAGCACACATTTTAAGGCTTTATGTCAGAAATCCACAGCAGATCATTTTTAAAGCTTTCTCAAACTGATGCTGCAAGAAGATTACCTCTAACCCCAGAATAGCAATTTTATCAAATTATTGTCTTGTTGAGAGTGTGGTCCTCACTTATTAAATTTAAAGCCAAGCACAGACTCTTGACTCTTTCAAGTCTGCTCTGAAGCGACACTTGTTTATCCAGGCTTTTGGTATCTAGTTATGTTTATTGTAGTGTGTTGTTGTTGCTGTTGTCTTGACAATATTATGAAAAAGTGATGTCTCATATATTCAGTCAGAAGAGCACAAATTCTTGGCCAACAGCAGAGTTTGCTAGGAGACTGTGTTGCTCTAGCTAATGGTAATGTTATCTAGTAGTACATATGTACTCGAGTTGGCTCTTGTTGTTATTAATCTACTGTTAACAGCTGCTAACATTAAGCAAATGTTTTTGCTTGAATTAGAATTGAAATTGTTTCTTCTGAATCGCTGCTGCACATCCTGCTGCTGTGGAGCTGCCTGATTTCTTCCCAGCTGGTTCAACTACAAGCATCAGTCTCACCTTTGTTAACACACCGTTACAAAGCTGATGTTGATTGTAGAGCTTTTGGATAGTTTTTGCATCAATTTGTACTTCTAACTCCATCACCTCAACTTCATTTATACTGATGCTTTCACTGCTATGATATTAGCACTGATAGTAACATTCTTCATCGTCCATCTTGTCCCAGTTCATTGCATGCCTGTTCAAACCACATCAAGCCAGTCTGCATAAAATACCCATTATCTTAGCCAAACTTCCAGACATCAATTTAACATAGTATACAATCTAAGTGTAGTATAAAATTGACCTTTTGTGACATAATTTCAAATTTTATGATATAGAGTTCTTGACATACACAGGAAAGACTGGTGAGGATTAAAGAAGAAAAGTATTCACCTCAGTTTGTCAAATTCTAATCTGGATAAAGAGTGGCAGCATCAGATAAATTTCCTTGTGTCAGAAGACGTCTGTGAGCTGTCGGATCAAACCTCATCCTGAGGAGGAACAGCAGAAAAGGAGACATCTGTTTCCATGAGGAGAGGGAGTCGTCTTTTTACAATCATCTTTTCTCTCTCTCGGACATCATGTGGTTTGTCGAAGAAGAGGGTGATGGAGAGGATTCACACGGCTCTCCCATCAGAGCGAACAGTGCAGACAGAGCTAATCAATCACCAGAATGAGCTCCAGGTTGACGAGGTTCAGACGGTTGTTAGCTCTTCGGTCTGACACATTTTTTCCAACCATTTTTCTCCTGATTGATTCATTTATCTTCATTTCATCCTTCAGCTTATGTATCAGTATTTTCTACCTTAGCCGGAGATGAGACAGCTAACACCTGAAATAAAGAGGACATTTATTCACGTCACCCTTTTAAGTCAGGTTTACTTCAGTCAAGTTTAGATAAATAGTCTCTTCAGTATTGAAATGATTAGTGTCATTTCCAGCTATTAGTGTTATCTCGATTGTAAATATATCAACTCAATGTCAGGCTTCTCAGGTGTGATCAGTTGTAAGTGTCAAAAACTTGAGCAGTTAAGTCAGTACAAGCCTCAAACAATGAGACTTTTTATTAGTGTACACCTTTTGAAATCACATTTAAGACTTTTGAACAACTTTTGAAGAACCAAAAAGAGAAATTTTTAACCTATAAACGCAGCAGGACGACCAGTAATTGACATATTTATAAATATCAGTGCTTGGCTTAGAAGCTTTCATACATCTCTTGCAAGTTTCTTAATGTTTGTCCGTACTCATTTTGTGCGTTTTCATCAAAGCCAAATTTCCTGAAATTTGCATGTTCCTGATTTCCTCTTTTCCATTCAAGGTGTATGAATGTGTTTATAATATGCTGCCAAAACTGTTGGAATTGATCCATAAACAAGCAAAACTACAAATAAGAATGATAACATTCTGTCTTATTTCCACCTAGGATAATGATTTAAAACCTTTTTATGAGTAATAAATACACATTTTTCAGATGCTTTGTGACCTGAAATACTCTAAACCCAATTCAAGACTTTCTTAAAGATTTGCAGGAACCTTGTCTCTTAAATATGGTGGATAGGTTTTATTTACTTGTTTTATTTTAGGTTGAAATCAGTCTTAATGTGAAAGGAGAGATGGACAAAAAAATAAACTTAAACCCCTCAGTGTGAGTTAAAGTGAGATTACAAGTTGGTCAAGCCAAGTGAGTAGTGTGTTGGGGTGTATCCAAAAGGTAAATTTTGATGTTAATGGGGGTAAAAAGCAGTTGTTAGTCAGTTGTGTTCTAGAGATCTCAACGTATCTTTTTTCCCTTGGGCTGGATGGATGGATGGATGGATGGATGGATGGATGGATGGATGGATGGATGACTTCCATGAAAAGTTTTAAATCAAATTGGTTTAAGGTGATCTGAACATTTAAAAAATAATAATCAAATCATTTAATTGTTTTCATGTGTCTCTGGTGTTTTGCTGCCATTCACTGGCCATTGTCAGGTAAAGTCATCCCTCCAGGAGTGATGTTGCTACTTGACGTTTTCTGATATGCTTTAGCCTTGGAGATCATCCCTCTGTAAGTTTAGCACAAATATAAACACTATAAATCACAATATCCATGTTTTAACTGGAACGTGTGTGTTTTGGTTGAACGTGTGCTCTGCTAGCTTGCAGCAGCAGTCACAAACCGTTTTACTGTTGTTGTGGATTTATCTCCAAGCAGATTAGTTGTGTTTTTGTACAGTTTAGTTTTAGACAGAATTTGAGTGTAAGCAGACCTGGTTATAATTCTTGCTCTTTACATTATTTAGTAACATCGCAGTTTTACAGCAACTCAAAAGAAGAAAGAGCCAAGCCGTGTGTATTGAAGAACTTTTGGCCTAAGTCCAGACTGTTGTGGGAAGGAACGGCAAGTGATTCAACTGGATGACCCAGCCAGGGTATAGGAATAATGCTTAGTCAGCATTCCTAATGTGGTGACCTCAATTGATTAAGTTCAAAATACCTTTTTCAGAAAGTATCAGGGATAGTTCCCTATTTTATGTTTTACACTTATAACGACTTGTAACGTCTTACATGGGCGGGATGTCAGTACCTAAATTTTGGCTTCTCTTTTGCGTAACTGTGGGAGCATCGTCTAGTTAGTTGTCAAACAATTTGCCAATCTCCTTTATTTTTAAAAGAGACAAAAAGAAAATACATATCAGAAAATTTCAGTCCCCACTCCAAACAGTTTTAAGTCCCTGAGGAGGGTTACTATGGATTGACATTTATTCATCACGTAGTCCTACCTCATGATTTAACGATTCCAAGCCAGCATCTCCTCTCTTCAGCTGGGTTTGTATTCAGCTTGAGTATATTTGCATAAAACTTGGTCCTTTGACATTGAATTGAAGACTCTTCCTGTCTCTCAGAGGTCAACATGTCTGAAGCAGCACTTCAGTCTGCTGAGCCAGTTCAGAGTGTTCATCCCTTTATGCTTCACAGAATCTATTTTCTGAGTTCCACCTTTTGTACCTTTGAGGTCTAGGAGTCCTGCTGTGGACTGTGGACGGCATCCTTGATCATACAGGGATCTTAAGTGTCAATGTCACAGGCAGCTTACACACCTGTGAAGGCTTCATTAATGCTGAACTTTAAATACAGGCTTTAGAGGAACATTTGCTGCCATCCAGACAGTGATGTCTTCAGGGAAGACCTTCATATTTCAGCTAGACAATGCCAAACCATATTCTGCAGGGATTACAGCAGCATGGCACTGTAGTAGAAGAGTCCTGCCGCTAAACTGGCCTCCCCGCAGCCCTGACATGTCAAAACATCCGTTTTCTTTGCACTATTTTCAACCAAAAATAGGCTTTAGATGATTTTCACATCACTAAAGTCTGTTTTCGTCAACATTTTACTCAGCGACTCAACTTTTTTGGAGTTGGGCCATAAATCTGCATCCATATGGAGGGTCAGAGCCAAAACCTCTGCTTTAATATCCTACTGCTATAACAAAGTTTCAGCAAATACATCTTGAGTTGTTTGGCTGGAATTATTTTGCACTCTAACTTTTATCTTTTACAGCTGTCCCACAAATATTTTAGCTGTTTTATTGAACCTTCTCTTGGCTTTTTAACGGCTCTCATAAATCCTTTTAAAATGCTTCTTTATAATGTTTTATTGGCCTTTTTTGTCATGATGTGTGGGTAACTTTTGTAAAGCACTTTAAAATGCCTCGTTGCTGAAATGGGATTGTGTATTTTTAAACTTGCCCTGCCTTCACACATAACTGTTTGCATAAATTCAACATGGCATTTCTTTTCTTCTTTAACATTTTTGGATGTATGGTGAGGGTTTTGAGTATTTTTTGTTTTTCCCACTTTATGCTTCTTTTGTCATTTATTCAAGGTTGACAGACATCTATGCAGAAAGAAACTCCAAATAATTAATGTGGACATCCAACCCAAATCCATTAAATCAATCTACTATTTCGAGGGTATCCCAGGTGAGGCAGTTAATCTGAAAAATACGATATAAAAAGATTGTTTCACTAACTGCATCTTACAGTGAAAAACAGGTAGTTAATGCCGCTGAAGATGCACCTAAAGTTACCCATAGTCGTGCAAATTATCTGTGATGGATGTGCATCGTGCCCTAGCAGAAGTAGCTGAATATGGATAAGAACAAGGAGCTGGATGGAGGGAGGATGAAGGTAGCTGTTCAGTTTTCACAGTGGAAACGGTGATCCCAATGTCAGTGTGACAGGAGAGGACGAAGCTCTCATTACCACAGGAAATTTTTACATTTACATCAAGATACCTGTAAGAAAGGGGGTAAATTAACTAACAGCATTGAACATTCCCATTCCCTGAGGCACCAAGCCAGTTTCTGCAATACAAGTGGTTTGTTTCCAGTCTTACACCACAATGATAAAGAGCATGGGCATTTTATTTTGGAGATAATTCCTATTATTGTTTCCTCTCTTTCTTTCTCTTTCAAAAGCAGTAATGATGCAGAAAGTGACGTGAAGGGTTCATTGAGCAGTGCCATCTAATGTTTACACGCCCCTGGGGTCAAAATAACACAACCACAACCTTCCTGGACTTTACTACTAAAATTAAGAAAATAAGAAAATAAGGTCAGTGTCTGTAAAAGCACAAAAAAAGATCAGAAAGTTTAGATCTGTTGAAACAGATATAGCTTTGTTACTGCAAACCCTTTTTGAATATTTGCACTCTGGGAACATGACACAATAGTAAAATCAAAGTAAAAGCTCATTGCATGGATTCATTAATAAAATATATGCTGCATAATGCTGTGTTTAAACAAAACATAAAAATCATCCAGGGCTGCATAATTACTGCTTTAAGAGAAAGAGCTTTTTTGCTCTAGATCTTGGGTGTGGCGCTGCAAATTTATTAGCACTTAATACAAGAGCAGATTACATTTGGCTCCTTTATGAAGGGAAATAGTTCAGGTTTTAGAGTTGTTGGAGTTTTACTTGTGTGCTTGTATTTTGATTTGGAATATATTCTGGTTTACAGCTTCTCCATCCACTGTTTTTCTTTCTCTGGGGTCGCATCCATCCATTTTCTTCCATGTATCTGTGGTTGGGTTGCAGATGCAGCAGGTTTGCACAAGTTTCACCAGACATCCCTTTCCTTGGCAAAGTTTTTAGCTCCTCCTGGTGTGAACTGAGGCATCCCTAAAACAGATTTGATGCATAATCCCTCCAGTGCTTTCTTGGTCCAACTCTGGGATCTATCCCCAGGTGGGCATGAAAACTTCCAAATGGCAGCACCAAGGTATCCTAACAAGTTGCCAGAATCACCTACATTGGTGTTTACTTGGGCCCCTGACACTGTCCCTGAAGATGCTTTTCAACAACAGGAACTCTGTAAGAACTCGTGTTTTTAACAGCAGAAACAAGGGCCTAAATTTAGCTTTGGAGCAATGATCAACCCTGTGAGGAGTCTCTGTTGCACAGGAGCTTGTACTTTCTAGGTCCAGGAGTTTCTGTAGGCAGGGACTGAAGATGATCTCATTTATACCTACAAATAGGTCTTTCATTTACGTACAAAGTACAGCTGTGGGCACACACACATGCTCACTGACGAGGGAGAAGAAGAAATTGTATTGGAATAAACCCTGTGTAACCTGATGTTATTTTATGGGTAAAACCATATACACCAGCTGCACTAAGAGGGGTGGACAGTTAATGGCACAAAAGGGAGATTGCACTCGAGCAACTATTTTCCCTGACCTGAAGTTTTTCATAATTAGCACAGCTGCCAGTGTAATTTGGCACTTTTTGTACATAAGTTCAGCAGAGACATGAATAGAGAGCTGTGCCAGTGACTTAATTGACCATACCACAGTCCAAGATGTCACTGTCTGTCCCATAGGACGTCAGACAACAATGAACCACAGGAACAATTAAGTTCGTTAAAGAGAACTAAAATGTCCTGGTATTTTTAGAAACTTCCCCTGGAAGAAAAAACTTTAGTATCGGGGTAAAGGATCATCCATCCATTATCGTTACCACTTTTCCCACTCCAGGGGGGGCTGGAGCCTATCCCAGCTGTCACTGGTTAAAAGGAGGTTCACCCTGGACATGTCGCAAGTCTAACCTAGGGCTGACATACAGAGACAGACAACCACTCACATTTACAGGCAATTTAGAGTGACCATTGACAAGCATTTTTTTTCCAGATTGTGGGAGGAAGTTGGAGCAAAATTTGCAGTTTGTGTGGAGTTTCAACAAAAATGTCCCCCCCTGCTCTCTTTAAATCATTTAATTTCACTCATGACTGTTGCTGCTGTTGTGGAAAATGCAAATGAAAAGCTTTTCTGCCGTTTAATGTTGATCATTCAGTTTGACACCTACCCTGTGACAGCAGCTCAGACATTTTAAACAGTTGAGAAATAGCTGATCTTTATGCTGATGGACTTGTTTACTTGCTAGCTAGCTTATGACTTTACATTTTAGAGAATGAGCTTCTTTGTGTCTTTCTGTGCATTTCATTGATCTGTGTAGGAGTAGGAGCAGGCCTTGTAAAATTCACATCGAAGTCCTGTCTCAAAGCTGTTGTGGCTGTAACCTACTCCTTTGAAAATATTTTGCCTCTCATAAGTGTACACAAAGGTTTGCAGCCACTCTTTTACTACTCCCGAGCAGGGCACTGATGATAGTAACTGAATGTGTAGAAATAAAGTTTTTGAAAACCCACGTGGAGCTGGATTCAAGCCCACAAGAGAAAAGGGTAAATGTTACAACCCTGGTTGTGATTGAGGTGGCTGAGGGAAGGTAACCTGCCCGTAACCTCAGGCTGACTTGCCACGACATTGTATGTAACCGCAGCTTCAGTCTCTTCTGCAGGAATCTGTTGCCTCCGCCACACTCAGAGAAGCACACCCCTCCCTACCAAACCAGTCAGAGTGACAAGCCTTTGACTCACTCTTAATCATAGTCCTCATTACAAGTATGTCATCATATAAAGATATCTAAAAAGGTCATCTTTTCTACACTATCATACACTTTTAGCATATCCGACACCCATTTAGGCTATAACCTTTAAATTAAAGAAGATATTAGATGAATATAATGAAATTCAATCAGGAAAAAGCTCTGCCAAGGTTGAGTATTTACCATAAAGAATGATTTATTTACAACAAGGCACTTTGAACCAACAAACATTAAACAACAGAAAAGCGGAAAATAATGAGGATAAACTATCACAACTTCAGGGTTCTCAAAAGCCAAATTAATAAACAAAATGCCTGTACTAAATGGAAATAAAAGACATAACGACCTAATCAGGAGGAAACAAACACTGTTCTGACCTCTCTGTCTAAACACGACACAGGAGGAAACCAAGGGTACAAAGACAACGGCAGAGAACTCCTACCATGAACTCAAAAGATTCGGGTTCACAGAATATGCTCACAGTGGCTTTCTACAGCAACAGTCAAACAAGCAACCCTGCATGTCTACAGGTCTACAGGTCTACAGGTTGAGAGAGACAGAAAGACAGAGACAAGAAAGTGTCTTTTAAACAGCCAGCTCCCCTTATGAGTGATGCCTCTCAGCTAAACATTTGAAGTTGGACATTTATTCATCTGCACAAAAAGGGATGTGAGACAGTGGCACATTGAACCTGTTTTGAAGTTGAGGTCTCACCTTGCATGTTACCATCCAGTTATTGAGTTGAAGCTGCTGCTTCCTCTAGCTGAGTCATGTAGCAGATTATTCTGATGTCAGCTGACAGCTTGGAATCAATGAAGCCTATACGTTGTCAAACATAACACTGGAAGTGACAGACATTAATGTCCTACAGATGCTGTTAAACATGTTTGGATGAGGAGATGGAGCAGAAAACTGAGAAGGAAGCAAGGATTGAGATACTCATTGAGATACTCAAATTCCTGTTCGTGTTCATACTAAAGAACAACAAACCTGCACAATAATACTGCACACCGTGGCATTGAGGCACCCCGAATCACTACAGGGGGGACTTCCTCACTGTGACAGCCCCACCCTTGTATTTCCTGGCATATTTTGCTCTATTTGCAGTTTAATTGTCTACTCACCTTTTTTTGTGCTGTTCCTGTCAAAGAGAGGTTTGAGTAGATTGTGTGATTCTTTGCAGTGGTGCAGAAAAAGTGTACATCCTGGTTTCAAAGTATCATCAGCCCCAATCACAGTACAACCTAGAAGCCCACCAGTCACATCAGAACATAACAGCCTAGTTGATCTAGGCTGGACCAGTCCTCTGACTTTATATGAGTTGGTTGAGGTTACTTTAGTGCACTTTGTTAAATACTAGGAGCAAAACTGATCTCAATGTCCTTTGTAAAAATATACATTTCCTTTTGTTCCTCTCAGAGAGCAGCATTATTGATGCTACACTGTCAGCAGCAGTTGGTGGTCCAGGTGTTACTTTGTCTGATTACTGCACACTGTTGGGCTAAATTAACTACAACCATCCATCAAATTTATGACTGGATAGTAATCTGTTATATATAGCCATATAATAGGCCTCAGTATTTATTTTTATGTCCTCTTTAAATTCATTTCTCCATCACATTCAGCTTTTATCTTATTCAGTTCATTTTGTGTCAAGCATACTGTGCTCACAAGAGGTGTTTCTGTGCAAGTAAAATCAAACAAGAACTATCCGCAGGTAAGGAGTGATCTTTTTCTCTAAAACACAGACATTTTATTCAAGACAAAACAATGTGGCTTTGAGGGAGTTAAGTCATTAAACCATTTTTCCTAAAATTATGTTAATTGTGTTCAGGGATGGGGTGTTTGGAGGGGTGTTGAGTTAAATACACAAATATCCTGGAGTATATAACTTGCAGTTTTCATTGTCTAACTTTTTTTCTTCATGTTTCCAACAGTTCCTGTTTTTGCAAACTGTAAGTTCTGAATCCAAAAAGCTCATTTTAACACTAAACTGTCACAAAGTAATCTAAGGTTAGATGACAACCAGCTAAAGGTTCATTTGACTGTATGAAAACAGTGACAAGGTCAAATTTACATATAAAGTGGGCAAACATGGATTGCACATTGACTAATTTGAAATTCATCATTATTAAAGGGGTGTTTTTGGAGTGTTTTGACTGCAAATGCTTGAACTGCAATTCTGCATAATTTAAGATTAATTGTGCAGCTTTAATTCAAAACCTTAAAGTGCGTTGTGGTTGTGACTGGAGCTGTGACTGTGTGATGGTTAGTCACTTTTACAATACTGCAGCAACCAGGGTAAGAAAGAAGAGTGCACCATGTTCACTTTTATTTTTTTTAACCTGTGCTTTTCCTATTGTTTTTCTATGAGCTCTGAGGAGATCTACTTCTTATTTCATCTCTTATCCTTTAATCAAATAATTATTTGCAGCTCTAGGCCTTATTTGCTTTAAAATAAATAGAGATTTATAGGCGGTGCCTCATCTCCAAAGCTGCTGCACAGTTTTGATCATTGCCATGCACGTAAATTCAACATCTCATTCTCGATAACAAGGAAGCATATTCAAGTATATTTTGCTCCCTATATATGCTCAAGGAAAAAAAAAACACAATCACAGACACTATGTGTCACCAGAACGTTGTGTTGCTGTGAAATGTGTTGATAGATGTCCACCAAGAGATCTATAAAGTGGAATGAGGTTGTAGGCATGACAGATCAGCAAAAACGAACACCTTATATGATGTCTCCTCCCCTCCTGGTATACTTGACACACAGAGCTTTTGAAGTGTGTGTGTGTGTGTGTGTGTGTCTGTGTGTGTCTGTGTGCGTGAAGGTTATGAGGACAGAGCTGTAAAGAGAGGCAGGTGAAAACAGAGTTTATATGGATCCGTCCTGACCTCTAAATGTAAGAAATAAAGCGAACAGGGCAGGGTTTATTAGATTACTACTGATCTCTGGTGACAGACTGCCCTTCCAGGTATTCACACAAACACACGGACTGATGCTCAGCTTAATACTGCCCCCAAGTGGACAAAATACAACGAGTCTTATCCATATCTGGGCTGTTTTGTGGTTCACTGAGCCATTTCCAAATAACAATGTGTGCAACTGAATTTTGGGTTGAACTGTTCTGATCACAGATTTTTTGATAATTCAAAGCTAAAATACAAGAGGGAGGAGGACTCGTCTATGTCCACCCACTGTACTGCAGCATAGTAGGTGGACCAGCACCACTGGCTTGCAGTTACCACAACATTATGACAGCATTAATAAGAGATACAATACTACTGAAATAGAGATAGAATGAGATATGTAAGTGATAGAATACATTAATAGTAATGAAAATAAAAAAACTAGAAATAAATGTGACAACAGTGTAAAAAAATGCATAAAAAATGAACAGTTGCAGTATTGCGATAAGGAGTGTGAAAAATAAACAAATAAATAAATAAACAAATAAACTTTTAAAGATTTATGAATGCTGACTGTGAGATAAGGTGAGGTGTGTTTCTGTACAAAGGATCATTTACAGAGTTAATAAGTAAATAACTATATAAATAGTTTAACAGCTTGAGATACATGAAATCAAGCAAGCATTAGCATTAATATCTTGATTATGTTGAAATATCAAATCAAGATAGAGAGTCAAAAAAATTTAATTTTAGGAAATAAGAGGCACAATAAAATGAAATAGTAAAATATCCTAACATTTAGTGTTTGTTACTGTTATTTTTATATCCATAGTCCTTCCACGACCAACCATAGACCATGGGATACAGACACATTGCATACCATATTGCAAATCAAAAGTGAATTATATTTTTGGGGTTATCCAGTCTCACTTTTACCCAAGTATGAAGTCCTCACATAAAACAGAACTTTCTAAAATAAATCTGCACTAGGCCTGTTGAGGTAGACAGGGTTTTTGGGTTCACTTTCACTGCCTTTTTCTTTCAAAAGCACTCACAGTCAGTTCAGATGTCTGTAGAATGCCGCACATTATTATGAACTTAAAACTATTAATGCGCGTACAGATGGAGAGGTGACCAGATGCAGCGCAAGATGGCGGACCCAAAGATAGAAAACCACATTTACAAAACGCAATAAGTTCCTCCGATTGGCGGACCCAAAACAATTACTTCCGGTGGAAAGGCTTTCTCGTTGGCGGACTTCCGGCGCCGAAATACTTCAGGTAGTCGGATTTAGTCGCCGGATCCTTTTTTTTTTGCTCCGTTCATTCCATAAGAATCGAATTAAATTTATTATTGAGCTAAAAATCAAAATAAAACGTTTATGTATTAATTATGACTACTGTTTTGTTCTGATTTAATTCTGAAGTTTACAGTAATATGTATATATAGCCTGATGTCCTCATATTCTGATAATTTGTCAGAATAGGTAAATGTATGTAGAAGTTATCATCTTACTCAAATTCTTTTGTAAGAGTTTGCTACAAGTATGGACTGTTTTAACCTCTCGTTACACATCATATAACAGTGTTTTCTAACTTTTCTCTCCAATAGCTTTATTACACAGCACATCAATGTTTCTTAACTTCTCTGTGACCTTGTTTCTCCACTCCTATTAGGACCTCGTTTAATGTCAACAATGTTGCCCTGACCCTCACATATTTTCTGTTGTTCATAATTATGTTTTATGAGAGTGCTTATGTTGCTGCACAAATTTACTCCCCCCATCCTTTAGTAACATTGTGTAACCAGGGACATAATTTATGAAATGGTGTGCTTCCTGGTGAACCTCTTCAGGATTGCTTGACTGTGCAAAATCCAAGTATACAATAGTTGTAGAGACACAAGTCACATGATCTCTTTAAGGTTCAGAAGAGCCATATAGCAAAAACAATTGAATAGCGATATCATTACAGACTGTGTAAAGAAATGGGAAATTGTCATACAACTGCTTTGAAGATTTCTTTAATTTTTTCCAAACAAAATTGTGAACAGTAAAAAAAAATATATATATACAAAATTCAGCACTGCCGTCGGTGTGGTGGGGGGCTTAAAACACGTTGCCACAGGCCATCATCAGCTCTGCTCTGAACCGGTTGATGCCATGCTCCTTCAGTGCTTTGATCAAAAGCTGAAAAACAGTCAAATAATGTGAACAATTGAAGTTATGCAGTATGGGTTAATTGTTGTTCTTGAGCTTTCCAAATGAATAAGAACAACCTCTTAACAATATCATCATTTTTCAAAGCAAGCTATATAGTTTGATCTACTCACCTCTGGGAGCATGACGTCAAAAACGAAATCAAGCAGATGAATCTCGCCTCTCTTTATTTTTTTAGAAATGTTTGTTGCCACCTCAATGAACCGCAGGAGCTCGAACATCTATTGAAGAAAAACACAGAAAGTAAACACCTTTCAAATGTAACACCCCTGAGAGTAAAAATACTCATGATGGATGGCATTTTTACTTACGCGCTGCTCACTCCAACTTAGTGTCCTTATCTTAAGATGCTGCTTTAGTCGGAGTGAGGTGGCGGGATTCCTCCAAAGGAACATTCTGTTGGAGCGGATCTTTCCAGACAGTAGATCATCGTGTAATGTCTGAAACCAAAGAGCAAGAGACAAAAATGTAATCATCTGAAAAAGAAACGGTGGCTTTAACAACTGATAGTGCATTCAAAAGCAACCTTGATCTGTGTCTTAGAAAAGACAGCATGAATTCCTCAACTGTCAACAGCATCCTTGATCCTGCAGAGAAATAAGAAAAGAGCAAGCCCTCATTTTTTCATCCTTTGAGCCTCGTATTTTTGACTGATACTATGTTTCCTTGATAAATTATGTTATACCGAGGATGCTCAATGGAGTCCTCGCACCCGCAGTCAAACGGCTCCATTTCAATCCCAGCACAATCCTGATGCAGCCAGCCCCTGCACGTCTTGCACTGGACCCATTTTATGACGTTTACCTCAGGGTAAAGCAATCTGATCAAATGAGAGACAAACATAATATCAAACAAACACGCTGTCCAATTGATTATACCTCTGCAGCACATTTGAATGTATAAATAATTTTCCTGCATGATTCGTGCATTTAAACTATATGTAAAAGTGGTCACTTCATGGAAAATCACTGAATAGGCCCCGATAATTGCATTTATTAAATTGAGTCTGCAACACACCTCTCTCCTGTGTTGTTCGATGTCTGGTAGACACAGAATTGCATTGAATCTGCCATGCACATTCTTTGGACATCCGATACCGTCTGCTTCATGGTTTCCTTGACAAGGCAATTTGAAAAGTAACATCAATTACCAAATACATCGAGACAATGTTGATCCATACAACTGTGTGCATTTTGAAGGACTCCCACTGAGATAATACTGTTTTTACAAGGCAATTTCCTAACCTCTGTGTCCTGCTGCTCTGCCTTCCTCTTTAGACTGAAGACCAGATGCTTTCCAGCAATGAGCTCTTGACATTCTTTGGTCCAGTGGGCGAAGATTTTCCCACAACTGTAATGACAATATGTCTTTAAGTACAATATATTGATTGTCTTCCAGTTAATTAGGACATCTAGTTTACTTAAACTGTCTACCTGTTCAAAGAATTGTTCTCCAGGAGCAACAGGCACCACCATCGCCGCCAAACAGGCATGTCATGCTGAAATTGTTGTTTGTATTTCATTTTAGTGCACAATACAAAATACAATCTTGAGGATGACACTGCATGTTGAAAAGTACTTACAACTGAGTAGTCAAACTGTGACTCCATAACGATGTACATGGCAGACTTTAAAAAAAAAATTATGAGACAACATGTGAGATAACTTTAAAAAAGTCCATGTTGGAAAGTTATTCTAGATACAATATTTGTGCATTACAGCTCGTTATGACCTACCATCAACATGAATATGCCACAGTCTGAGCCGAAGTCCTGGCTGGGGAAGCCCTGATTTAACAAAAGCAAACGTTAATCATCTTGTCACATACACTTTGTAGGAGCCAGATTGGGGTTTTGCAGTTTATTGTTATGTATTTTTTGTGCCAGCAGATGGTGCTATTGTGCCCGTCTATTTAATGGGTGGGTTGATTAGGAGAGGTGCGCACATAAAATGATGAATGAGTAAATAAATCAAAACAACAGAAAATGTGTGTGACATGTGACATTATTCCACCTGCGGGCACGCATCAACTCAAGCAAAAAGGTGTTCGCCACAAGTAACAGCATTGGAAAGCTGTTATACACTTTTCAACTGTAATATAGAGCATGCACAAATACCTCCAAATCTCTGCCCGTTTTCTCAGTCCATTGCCCAGGACATATCTTCTGCGCAATGTTCCTGTTAATTTGAGAGCGTCACTTAGATTTCCCATGATGGAAACAATGGAATGCAGGGTTAGGGTTAGTTTGAGTGGTCGGATGTGAGATTGAATGAATGCGGACGGCTTGCTTCTTTTCAAACTTCCTGAGAGTTCTTCTTCTTCTGTATATTTTGCCGTCAGAAAGTGTAGGTACATACCGCCACCTACTGTTCTGGCATCGCAAAGCAGAAGTTCAAAGTTCATGTTTTGGGTCCGCCAATCGGAGGTAATGCGGAAACTTATTGCGTTTTGTAAATGTGGTTTTTTATCTTTGGGTCCGCCATCTTGGCGCTGCATCTGGGTACTCTTGTACAGATGGACAGTGTATAACTATCCATACATACATCGGCTGACACGTCTCATGACGTATTTTTTCTAGCCAATCAGATTGATTTTGTCACCCAGTAGTTGTCGCGGGAACTGCTCAACACTCAAAATAAACCAAAGAGAGGGACGTTCAACAAGTGTCCAGCGAAAGGAGAACTTGCAAAGTAAGCATTTGTGATCATTTCTGCCATGGCAAGTCCGGCTATTTTCGTTTGTGAGATCGAAGTGCTTCATTACGCTGTTAGTGAATTGGAAAGCTTACTATTTTGGCAAGCTAATGTTCGTTGCTAAGGGGATTGGCAGCTGGTAACAGTGAAATTTTCTGTAAAACTACCAGAAGCTGGGCCACACGCTTCAAAATAATGGCGTTTAATCGGTAGATTGTAAGTTGTGCCCCTCAAAGTGACATTACAACATTTTAGGAGTTCTTTAGACGATAAATCAAATATTCAAATGTCTTGACTTGGCCTTATTGTCTTTGATGAGCAACTATTCAGTGGACGAGTTCGGTGACTGCTTTATTTTGAAAACATGAACCGGAAATGATACGAATTAAGCCTTGTAGGCAGACGCCTAGCTATTCAACGACAACACGTTTTCTGTTTTGTGTATTTTAACACTCTTAACTTTTTCCGTAAATTTAGCAAATTTGGACGTGCTTCTTTGACTTTATGTAATCTTTGGCCTATTGTGAAGCTTTCGGCTACAGATATTCCAGAAACCATCGTCGTATTTCAATAATATTTAACATTTTAGTTATGGTTTATATTGAACCGTATCGTCGTAAGTTCCATATACCTGTCAAAATATACTGCGAGATGCCCAATAGATATACGGTGTTATCAAAAGAGCGAAAACGGATCATTCTGTAAACAAACCAAATAAAACAGAATATTGTTTATACTCTTTGTTTATCTTAGTTTTCATAAACTATCAATGTCCTTTTTACGAGAAAAAATATCAGATTTTAATTTTTACTCAACCCCAACCCAAGCCTAAGACTTTAGTGATTATTTATCTCCAGAAATCAGACAATAATTGGTGTACCTTTGCTCACAATACCCTAAGTTGAAAATCTGTCCATTTTTTGACCAGCTGCATTCATTGCTGGCCTCTTTCCTATTCTGAAACAGTGCACAATATTTCAAGAACTTTGAATTCTCTTTGTCTTTCTGTCTTTTATCTAGTTCCCAGTCTGCTGATGGATTGGATTTAGCGATAAAATGACCCACAGGCTGACTAAGGAGCAGCTGGATGAACAGTTTGAGTTGTTTTTAAAGGAGGTAAATAAACACTGGGAAAAAAAATAAAAAACACCAGTTTACTGATGACATACTATCATGTTTTTCATTGGTTGCATGTATTGCACATCACGAAAGCTGTCAGAAACAGATATGAGTAGTCACAGTCATGATATAAAGGCTTATAACCCTAAGGCAAACTCTTTTGCTGTCAGTCTGTTTCAGATGACTCTGTGGATTTTGGCTCCTCTGACAAGAAGACTTTTGCTAAAACCAGCAAGAAATCAACCCAGAAACCAACAGTGTCCTGGTGGCCAGATGACGATCAGAGTGATGGAGGAGCAGAGAGAGGTAATGACATGGAGGAGATTCATTATAGTACATCACCCATCAAAACACACATATTTCAGATCAATAATTTGAACTCTGCCTGAGTCTGTGTCAACCTTCTCACAGTTTGTGGTCAGATCAAGCAACTCACACACAACCGCAAAAATAAAAATAAAGAATATTCACGGACAAAGTTTCTTTGTAAAAATAATCCAGATTTCTGGATTTTCAGACTCCCATGAAGGTAGTTCATATGAACCAAAACACATTTATGATAAATAAGCTGCTAAACTTTGTGCTTTTTGAAATTAAGCCACCTGCTTTTTTAACAATGCATTAAGAGTATTTTGTTCATGTGTTTGAACTGGATAAAGATGCTTCTAAAGATGTTTGTGATAGACTCCCTCTGTGAGATTTTCTTATTAATCCAAACCACTGAATGTTTCTCTGTCTGTGTAAATTCAAAACCTCAGCTGAGCGGTGCACATGTTGAGAGAAGTGGGAACATATTTCACAGCTCTGTATTCTTCCAACTATCATCTCTCCAAGGTTTGAAAGACTGTCTTCTTGTGTTCTTCTTTCCTCTTCTTCTGTTTCTCCTCTTTCCTCAGCAGAGAAGACCAAAAGCAGATTTATCAAAAGCAAAAAGTCACAGCCAGAGAGCAATGATGGTGAGAATCAGTAGAAATGACATCTAAATACTTGTAGTCCACATCCAAATAAGACAATTCATTTTAAAACACTGCCTCCATTTCTTTCTGTAAATACAACAGATAACTGTGAATGTGAGCCTGCTCATCTTCTGTTTAGTTCCTTCTTCTGTGGTGAACCATAGTTGGTTGTACTTTCACCCGGCATATGTTTTTGTTGTTGTCACACACTTTTCTTTTCCTGTTGTCACTAAACAGATGAAGTAATCTGAGTCTCTCACTGCACACTCACCTGCACATGCTCCCTCTCTCTGTTTTTCTCTTTTAATGTGTCTTCTCTGCTTTTGTAGAGTTGCCCAAAAATCACAATACAGACACTTTTTTTCTCTTGATTTTATGTGGAGAGGAAGGATCAGATTTATCTCGCTGGCACAGACCGGCCACGCACACAGGAAATTGACGTGTAATAACATGAAGATTGTTTATCTGCAGAGAGTGAATTATTGTCAGCAATCAAATTTGTAATGGGAAGACTGGGAGGAGGATTTCTGCTGACTTCTGGTGTGATATGTTTGACAAATGAGACACTAAAAACAGAAAGTGCTTCACTTGTTAGCCAAATACATTTTAAGTGGCAGTTGATATTAATTTAGTATAGCAGTTTAGTTGTGGCTATGAGCTCTGTGAAGCAGCTCAATATTCCTCTAATTTAACAAAAGGCAAAAACCCTCTTTATATACTTCAACAAATGTGATTGTTAGACACTGTCCAGTACATGCCTCCGATTCTCCCAGAGTTAGGACTCTGTGTAAGACGTTGATAAAAACACCTCAATTTTTTTCTTCTATGGTGTCTGAAGTCATCACTGCCGAGCCTGTTCTTAAACCGGTCCCCAAACCTCGCTCCAAAGCTTTGGAAAAAGTGCTTCAATTGGAGAAGACGTACAAAGAAACACTTCACAGAGCCCCATCAGATGACCCTCACTCTGACAGTCTGAGTGCTTCTACACGAGCAAACCTCCAGAGTGAGTCTGAAGAGAGGAGATCAGATGAGACTCAGTCCTGTGATTCTCCAGCAGCCAGCAGTGAGGGTCTCTCCCAGGGTGGCAGTGAAGATGGTAACTTAAACCCCCAAACCCCCAAACCATCAGCTAGTGCTAACATAGTCCCCCAGAAGTAGAGTTGTACACTTAAGTAGAACAAGTAGCTCTTAAAAATTGTCATCTCTACTAACCTCATGTAGTATTTGTCCTGATGTTGTCATGCATTGCTCAACAAAGACTCTTTGTTTTTATTTTAGTGAAAACACGAGTGAGACTGCGTATTAGTTTTAGTTTCTTTTTGTTTTTACCTTTATATGGCAGAAACGCATTCTTAAATTTTGTGAAAAGCTGAATTTATCTCTTGTCAGATATTTTGACAGGCATGTTTCTTGCTGTGCGGAGACATAATTTTATTCTCTTGTTCCTGCTGCCTTTACTGTAAAATCTCTGCCTCAACACTACCTTTGCTGCATCTTGTGTTGATCTGTTGCGTCGATTTTTGCAGATCAAATATACGGTGGAAATGCATAGTAGCCATCATACAGGTGTGTTTACACAGTTAGAAAACAAGTTAATCTCTGGTTTACTGAACATTTTGGACTATAAAGGTCAAGGTCACAAAGGTACTAAGGTGCCTGGCTGTATAAAGTTTTTAAAATGCTTTATGAGAATAACTGTCAATCAGTAAAACTGTGTTGATTTTAGGAGGGCATTTACTTTTATGAGCAGGTTGCACATCTTTTGCAGAGTCTCATAATTGAGGCCTCAGCCGGGAGGATTTAGTTCTCAGCATTTAAGAGCATGTCCCCCTTTCTGTCTTTTCTGCATTTCGTATCTTTCTACAGCATTCACTGGCTAATTTAGGCCAACAAGGGAAAGAAAGAACATACATATGAAAATTGAGTCATTTAGTGTGTAGTTTTTAAACACTTGGAAGTTTAAAAATTTAAATAAATTAGATTAGCATCAAGAGAGTCTCAACCACAGATAATTTGATAGACCGGTGATTGGTGAGAGAAGATAGGAAGAATATTATCAAAGTCCTCCTCAGTCATTTAAAACAGTTCCCTGTGGTCTAAATAATATCAGAAGTGATGATAGATTTAGCAGCAGAGGAAGGTTGAGACCCTGTATTTAAGCAGTGACTCCTCAGAATGGTCTTCATAATGGAACCAACGCTTGTCTCCAAAAAGCTCTTTCAAATTGTCTTGAGATAAAATGTCTTACAAAGAGAAAAGACATGTTCTCCAAATGTTTCACTTCATTTTAAAGAGACCAGAAGATACGGTTAATTGTATTTTGGTTTCTTTTTGCAGTGATTGTTTAGTATTCTTTTTATGTAAGTCAACAGAAATATTTGCAATAATTCAGTTTTCATTTATGCTGTTGGTTTCATGAACAGTTATAACCTTGAACTTTTAAGATGTACATTTCTGAAGGAGTAAGGAGAAAATCCTTGAACCAGAGAGGTAAGTAAACAAAACACTGGCTTAACTGTAGCGTTCAATCAATGCAACTATTAGAGATCAATATTTCCTTTGTGAAGCCTATGAATATTTATGATCTTTTTGTGTCACCCGTCTAATCCACTGTAGGTAACCTCAAGGACCCTGTGCTGTGTTATATACAGACATGATATGATACTCTAAGGATTCTCTCTACATGTTTGTCTGTCCAGGGAAGAGTTTCAGGAAGTCTCTGAGGAGGTCTCAGTCCATTCAGGAGGAGGTGGATGCAGAGGAGTCAGGTCCAAAAGAAGAGGGGTTTAAAGAAGCTACTTCTATGAGAGATGATGCAGAAATACTCGGTGAGTGTTACACAACACATGGACAGGATCTGACTGTTGTAGGGATCAAGAAACTTGGATTTCAACTTTACTTTTTCTACTGTTGGCTGGATAACATTTTGCGCAACAAAAAACAAAAGATGAGTATATAATCTCCTCTCCCTGCTCTCCTCTCTCCACATGTGGCCACCAGATAGTTTGTACCACTGTTGCACGACATGGAAAAAAAAAATCTGAGCTTTTTATAATGAAGTAAAAGTGAGAGCTGTTTGAGGGGAGGGGAAGGGATGCACCTACGCTCAGCTGTTAATAAAGAAAGAAAAGAGGTAGCAGATAGCTCTGTATTGTTTAGTCTTAATTACCATATTTTTAATTTTCTAATCAAAATTGAAAAATCGCCCAACTTTGCCATGAGTCCAGTTAATATTGCGCTTTAAAATAAAGACCATTATGTAGACCCTTTTTTGCAGCATATGCAGATTTGAAAGGTTTTAGCACATTCAGCAGTAACAAAGAAATTGTTAATAAACGTATTTCAAACAGCAGCTCGTTTGAATACTCATTAGGCAAAAGTGCTTTTTAATCAAGATGAAGCCTTTTATAGGAGCATCTCAGTACATGAGAATTTCATGTAAAAGTTCATGTATTTAACTCAAAACAGTAGACTGTCGGATGTCTTTGTATTTGTGGCTTGAAAAGTAAAACATTTCATATTCACTTTTGCTGAGTGTGATGACTTTGGATGATAGCTCATGATAATCAGAATACCAGTGTCTCACATGCTAAGAATATTTCCTGAAATCAATTATAAAAATGATTTAAAATGTACTTGGACATCTCTGTGAATAAGAAATTAGTTTGAGAGCACTAAAGTGTCTTTTTGTTATTGAAAAAAGTCAACCTATCCCAGTTTTGATAATCATGGTCTACAAAAATGTACATATAGGTCTGACATTTCAGGTTTCTCTCTTTTTTGTTATGACCAAAGTGTCATGGTTTTTCCTCCTTATCTTTTTTTGTGTGTTCATACCAATTCAGCGATGGCACCAGCTGCAAACACAACCAGTCTAGGTTTGGACACCCTGGAGGAGGAAGAAGAGAAAGCTCGCTTCTTCTCACAGTTTGAGTCTGGAGCTTCATCAACCATCGATTACTCCAGGCTGAACAAAGAACTGGATTCAACTAGTTCAACTGACTTCAGGTGAATAAATCAGAATTAACCAGTTTACAGCCTGTTCAGTAATGATCAGCCGGTCCTCTCGGATATGACTGATTCTGTGCTGAGAGAAAAAAAAAAAAACACGGACCTGCAGGAGGATGAGCTATTACAGTTTCCTGACACATTCATTCTGTCAAGTCATGAAAATTTCACACCTAGATTAACCAAAACACCCAGAATCCTGCACAGGACTCAATCATATGGGACAGCTGTCACTCTGTGTGTAAATGCAACCGATATGAGAGTCCTTGGGGCTTTTTTGGCGCAGGTGTGATGTGTGATGTTTTTTCTCCACATTGCTGGTTCAGTACAACTCTCTATGGATATCTGAAAAACAGGGCCCCATGCAGGCGTTAACAGCATTTTTAATTCTAAAAAATGTAGAAATGCCATCCTGTCCTGTGTTACAGTGACATTTTTAAGGACAGTTTCCATCTCCTTGGAGTCGATCAGAAGCCTTTCTTTAAATGGTGCAGATACTCAATATCGGGGCAGAAAGTTAAGAAACTGCGCGTTTTGGTCTAATGAAAAAGTCACCTATCAGATTGAACCCCAAAACTTTGCTGTGATTGACACTACACCAGAGACCATGCAAACAAGCTTGTGGTAACTGCTGCAGGGACTGCGCTGCTCTTAATAACGTGAAGATCAGGGTTGTTACCATGGTGTAATTATGATGTTCTTCCTGCAGGAAAGCTGAGGGAGAGGAGGAGCAAAGTGATGAAGATAAAAAGAAGGGCAGAATCATAGAGAGAGAATCACCAGGTAAGAGCTCTGAGCCTGATGCATCTCTGTCCTCATTCTCTAAGTCTTAACTGGACTCTTTGTCTCTCTTTACTCAGGCTCTCCACACTACAGTGAGGATTTTGAGGAAGAAGACAACAGAAAAGAGCCTCAAGAGGAGGTTTGTAGCTAAAACTATCAGATTTTAAAGTCACATGGAGTTCTTATTAATATCGGTTACTTAAAATGATCCAAAATTGTTTAGAGTGTTTCACTGTTTGACTGAAACTCTTCACTACAATGTTTTTGAATCGTTTGTTGATTCCCTCATATCAACATTAACTGAGGAGACCAGTTTTAGAGTTTAGAAAGTGATGTCCCATCTTTGCAGGAAATAAGATTTCAGCTGCTCAGCAGTTCAGGGTCTCCTTTGTCATTTCATGCAGAAACATGATAATCAGAGGGGCGAGTCAGGATTGCAGTCAGGATGGTTTATTAGCAAGACTCTCCGACTGCAGAGCCATGTTGTTGTAATCCCTGCAGAATGTGGTTTGTCATTGTCTTTCTAACGCATAAAGGTCTTTACTGTAAAAGTCATCGTCTGGATGGTAGCAGATGTTGCTCCTAAACCTGTAAATATAGTTGAAGATTAATGGAGCCTTCACAGATGTGGAAGATATCCATGACATTGACACTTGCTATCATAGATGCTGGCTTTGAACTAACTTTAAACTAAACTACAAGCTGGGTGATCCTTCCATGATTTCTAAAAAAAATAAATCATGTATTCAGGTATGTTGTGTGGGTTAAATGCATCTATTAAAGAATTTTGTTGTTTGAGATACTTTTCAGTATACCACACATGTCTTATTGTGTTACAGTTTGAAGCCAAGCACCCTTAACCATGATTAAGTCTATTACAAATTTGTGTGACTAAGCTTTAAAAAGTGATGGATCAAAAATCCTTGGAGATGGCACCACTGTCATTGTCGCACACCGAAGCAGGATCATTTGCTCAGCTTTGATCATTTTTCACAATTTGCTCTCCTGAAACTGTTTTTTTTTTTTTTTTTTTCGTTTTAATGCGTGCAAAATTTGCTCCAGCACCAACAAAGCAGTGGTAGAAACATCAAGGGTACAGCTTGTGGAAATGTTAAAACCACGCATCAAAAGACCTCCTTTAGGCAGTCAGTGTTTTCCATAAAAAGGCTCTCAAATGTGGAAAACACTGCCAACTGAAACAGAGATCACACAAGATCAGAAGATGTTCTTAAAAAGCATGAAAGGGTGGTTAAATCAAAATCAAAGATGTGAGTCTTTTTGCTCACAGTGCTTGCAGCTCACTGATTAGCACTTAAGGTCCGTCATGTCTGCTAAATAAATGCCCAAAAATGTAGAACTTAAAAAAGTCAATAAAACCGTCATCTTGCTACATGATTCAGTAATTCCTGCTGTTTCTGTTTTTCAGAAGTCTAAGATGTCTCCAATTCTTGCCAAAGGTAAGAGAGGAAATATGTCAGAGTAATTCAGTTTTCTTTGTCTGATTTGTAGAATAAAAGCACCTTTTAAAGGACAAATGCAAAGACTTTACAGCCCAGTCTGTGTATGTTTAATTATTGTCTTATCATCGTATCCTGCTGGCTGCTGAAATAAACCCTGTAATTACTAGTTCTTTACTAATAAACTTCTCAGAGGAGTAACTATGTATTTAAATTGATGTTTATACCATATAACAGTGTGATTCTTCTTGTCTCAGTTTCTCTCTATGATTCTCTGGATGACACTGGTGGAGACAACAGAGAGAAGCTCATACCCGCATCAGAAGACAAAGGTAACAAGCACATTCAGCAGAGTGAAAGATAAAACTGCTGTTCAGACACAACCAACAAACAGTTTCAGTATGGTTTGCTCCTGAAGAAGCTTTCAGACCTTTTGTGCAACAAAAATGTTTTATATTGACACTTCCAGGCTTGATGGGCTTTCACCAGAATTTACAGTTTCCCAACACTGAACTTGATTCCTAAAAATGAAGAGTGTCTTTATTTAAACCTCAATGTAACCTGCAAGAATAGCTCTTTTTTTTATCCAGTTTAATTGATACATGACAAAATACATGCATTTTGTGTTCAGGTCAGTCTTATGTGCAGAGTGGAGGCTCAGAGATGGAGGCTCTTCAGGAGGCCTACAGACAGATCCATGTGGTTGAGGACTCAGAAGACCATGAGCGTCATTATTCAGACCTGGAAAGCAGAGAGGGAGTCGACAGATCTGCCTCTCCGCCCTCCCCACCTCCTCGTCATATTAGACAGTCTCTTCAGCCGGCTTCTACTGCAGAGTCAGGTCAGATACTTTCACTGTGTCATCAGTATTTGGGACTTTTAGTGTAATTCTCTGTCTGGTTTGAGTGTCACAGTGTTTTAACTAGACTGTCCACAGGGAGGATTGAGATGAGTTGATTTTCTAAAAAGAGGATTGTTCCCTTTGTAATCCACCAAACTCAGTTGCCAGAAACATTCATAATACTTCCATGACTGTATCATGTGTTGCATGAATCTAGTTTTGGATCTAATGGGACATTTACAAATACAGAGTAGCATTACAGCACAAAACCATCTTAATAGCATCCAAGAAAGACACACTGATACGGTGATAGGCTGCCTGAAGATGTTCCATGTTAAAGCTGCTGTGGGCAACTTTTTGTTTGTGTTGATTATGGCGCCCCCTGTGGACAAAGTCAGACCTCTTATCTATCATCCTGTTCATGTGAGAGTTTAGTTTTCAGACAAGAAACTCATCCTGTGAAGTATAATTACTTCATGCATTAGCCGTGTCCAAATTCAAAAAGGCGTTTTTTTAGCCTGATGTAAATCATCTGGTCCGACAACTCTACCTTCACAGAGTTTTGAAACATTCAAATTACTGAAGTGAAATTCAGTCTTGCTGCTGATGGTCTGCATCAGCATCAGTTTTAGGCTGTTTCTCAAACGTCTCACGGTGCCTTTAGAGGCGACACACAGACAAACACACATATAAAGTGGTTAAAGTAGTTGACTCTTTGATTAGTCGGTGAAACTTCTGCTTGTTTATAACAGTGACTTTGTGTTTTTTAATCCAGAGCTCCCTACTGCTGAAGAGTTAATGAGACCCATCCGCCCTGAGGTGGACCAAAACAGAGGTTTCTCTCTGCAGCCTGTCAGGTTTGATCTTAAGAGCAACATCTGATTCTTGACAAACATACATGCTGATAGTCTCTTGAAATGTCTGAGTCAGAACTTGTGCACAATAGTCAGACTTGTGGATTTTGGAAAATATTTCCAAAGAGGTTTACATTTCTTAATCGATAAAGTTTTGTGCCAAAAAATGTTTGAGTATTTTCCTCGTTATATTTGTTGGTAACAGTGCTGCAGAATCCAACCAAGAAACGACACCACGACCCCTGGAAGGGACTTTTGTGACCTCTCCGGAGGAACACGTGAAGCTACCAGAACAGGCGACAGGAAAAGAAGGACTCAAAGGATCCACCAGCCACCGGTCCAACTCTCCAGACTCTCCTCACTACGACCCGACCTGGAGCATCAGACAGGAAGTGGAGCGGCTAATGAAGGATCAGGACAAACCTGATTCTCATGCATCCTCTCAAGCTGGCAAAACCAAAAAACAACAGGTAAGGATAACTTTGTGGAGGTAAAGTTACATCATTTTGTCAGTTTTAAGTTCATCTGTCCTCATTGTGAATGTCTTTACATAAGGTGACAGAAAGTTAACAAGCTTTAAGAGGAGTCAGAGGCTGAAGTCAATTTAAATCTTCTTTACTGTCATTCTGAAAACTACAGCATTGTATATACATGTGCATTTAACAAGCCTCAAAATGTTGGCATACGAAAATGACATTCATATTATTGGTTCATTCAATTTGATATTTGATATTTGCATATTTGATATTTCTTCCCAGACTTCCTTTGGCTCCACTTTTTCTCACGCCTCCACATCCACAGTGAGGAAACCCACCCCAGCCTCTGTGAGAGGTAGAAGAGTGGAGGGGAGGACAGCTGTCACCTCCAGATCTTCAGGGATGAGTAGAGCTGCCGCGACTACCAAAACCCAGACTACTGCTTCTCGTCCCCTGCAAGCAAAATCCAAGGTCACAAAGAGCCAAGAGAAAGAAGATTATGCAGGTAATCAGAGGAAACGAAACTCAAAAAGTCAGGTCACTGGGAGTCTGTGAAGACACAAGTCTGTCAATTCTAGAGCTGTGTGTCATGTGTGTTTTCTGATTGTTTGATGCGCAGATCCAGGTCTGAGGGCGAGCAATGAGCTGGTGTCCTCGGTCCAGTCCTTAGTGAGCGTCCTGCAGCAGCAGATTGACACCAGCCGTCACCGAGAGGTTGCAGCTTTTCCTCAAGACCCCAGACTGACACACCAACTTCAAAACAACAAGGTAAAAAAATACCCGCAAAAAGATCTGAGGTGTGGATTCAATGTGCAAACTGGGCACAGCAGGGATTTAAAAGATGAGGTTTGCACATCCAAGTTTAAACGTTTGTTAAAAGAAGAATGAAGGTGTGTGAGAATGGCTTTCAAGACCCCTCATATACCTCTCTACACTTTGGTTTTGGTGTTTTTCTTACAGGGGGAGGAGGAGGATTGTTTTCTAGTGGAGGAACTGAGATCTCAGCTGGTTCAGAAAGAGAGGGAGCTTGAGAGGATGAAGAAAGAAGCTGAGGAGATCACCTCACTGAAACAGCAGAACTTCCTGCTGCAGAGCAAGGTGCCTTAAGAAACACACAACACCTCTCAAAAGAAATAAGAATTATAGAATTTAGAGAGAATTTTTTTCAGCTGCAGTCAAATCAAACCTTTTATATTTGGGTCGTGACCCTTTTTGTCCTGAAATAGCTGTGTGGGCAGATGTACAGGTGGTTAAATTTAAGTTTTCATGATCAGATTAAAAAAAAAAAAGAAATCTGGACACCATAAAAGCAAAGGTGATGCATCTTCAATATGAACCTTTAAACTATGTTTCTTATTCACAGCTGCGAAGTGCAGAGGAAGCATGTCTGAATAAAAACAGATTGGAGGATCTCAATGACTCTGCTGTGAAGGAGAGGCTCCAGCAGATGGATAAAGAAATACAAGAGCAGGAAATGCTTATTAAAGGTTACCAACAGGTGAGTTTTCTTCAGTATTTATTTATCAATGATGAACCAAATTAGTAAGTGGCTTTACTTGTAATCTTTTTGATCACCTCTGATATTTTCTGATTCAGTCATGTTTTTTGTTTTCCTTTTGTGCTCATTTGAATGAAGTGACGCCAGGTTTGTTTTTCAGGAGAACGAGAAGCTGTATTTGCAGATGAAGGCTCAGCAGGCTAAAGGTAAAGCTAATGAGGAGGCCATGTTCAATGAAAACCAGACTCTGCTGAATCAGCTGGCTTTCACCAGGTGAGTTCGGTAAAGTTGTGACTGTAGAGTAAGTTTAAAGAGTAGGTTTAAACAAAGGTATAATTTTCGGTACATGTTCTATGTAAATGTAATGTAGAGGTGAAATGTAAAGATCAAAACTACGACAGACTGAGAACTAGACACAGTTCTACAATCCTCTTCCTTTGGCCTCAGACTCAGACATGAACTGAGTATGGCTTTGTAAACTTGATGTCATGTGCATCTGGTAATACTGCTGTTTAATACTGTTACTGCACAAGCAAAAAAGTAATATGTATATTTCTAAATAGTAGATCATATTGCCTGTCATAGGAAGCTCAACCAGACTGCAGCAGTACCTTTGTTAGAGACCTGACTGTTACAGATACAACATCAGCAAAACTTGAATTGGACTCAAGGGGCCCAGAGGTCTTAAAGTGATCTGATCTAGTAGTTTAAAAAAGTATTAATGAGAATATGTTGAGTTTATATCTGAAGGTATTTGGTGTTTTTCTGTCTGCCATCAACAGAGACCAGCTGGATAAAAACTCAAGGCCTGCTGGAAATATCTGCCTGATGGATCACACTCGGCGCATCACAGACTTGTTGGCTCAAATAGACACGTTTCAAGTAAGCATAATGGGACACTCGTGGTAATGTAGCATTCAGATGACAGGGTTTCTTTGTCCTGTTGAAAACCGTGAAGCTGTTTGCAGCAGGTTCATACAGGCTTTCATGCTCAGTGTGAAACAGAGTAAATACAGATGCATCTGAAAACATCAGAACGTCCCAAAACAAAAGTTCCTTTTTCCCACGATTTGATGCAAAAGTGAAACTGTTGTATATTCTAGATTTATCAGACACAAAGTGGAATATTTCACGACTGATTTTGTGTCAATCTTAAAAATCAAAAATCATTCAAGAGGTTCGGCTTTTCATCAGGACATGCTCACTTCCTGATCTGAGGAGTGCAGCACATGTGTTAAAGTGTCCCCTGTCTCCTTTTTGTTGAGCTGGCACAGTCCATTTTTATACTTCATCAGCAGACTACAGTTAAAAAGCAGATTTTGCAAAAAGACGAAAACTCTAAAAAAAACTTGAACATTCAGGACCTTTGGCAAAAAAAAAAAAAAAAAAAAAAAAAAAACTCAGCATGAACAGGAGCCTAAGGATGAGCATATTGCTGATGTAACATGTATGGTATGGATCGGTGTGGCTGTGGGTTGAGTTTGAGCTGCCTCAGAAATTATGTTCCTGTGTGCAGAGGAATGAGGCCAAACTGTGTGAGGACGTTCACAGACTGACTCAAGAGAAGCAGGCTCTGCAGCTCGACCTGCAGCTGATGAAGAAAGAGAGACACCTGGCTAAAACTCAGGCTGTGTCCGCTTCAGGTAACACCCGATTCATTAGGTGGAATTTCTTTTCAAATATGTTTCAAGCAAAAATGGTGCTTCGATTGTGAGATCTCAAACATGTTCATACTCCTGTGTGTTTCTTTTCTGAATGTGTCAGGTGACAGGACTTTGGAGGTGCGTATGTTGGAGGAGAAGCACCGAGAGGAGGTGTCAGCGCTGAAGAAGAAGCTGCAGTGGTTTGCAGAGAACCAGGAGCTGCTGGACAGAGACGCAGGCAGACTGAAGGCTGCTACAGCTGAGATACTCCAACTCAAAGAACAGGTGAGACTCTGCTTCCTCCATCCGATTCATACAGTTTACTTGTTTTCATATCAACACTTGAAGTGTTTTTACAATTATTGTTGCCCATGCGAAGAGTTTGTGCTCAACAATTGACAAAGATTTCCTGGACTCTGTCCTGAGGTTTGACATAGGATCAAATATACTGCGTAGAAAAACACAGAACTTAGCACACAGTGTTTCTTTTCCCTCCAATTAAACGTGATTCAGTATGACTCCAGTTTTCCCGTAAAGATCAATCCTACTATCATTTATGTGAGATTTTTGCTATCATATCTTCAAGTATATGCTTATCCAGCACTAAAGAGAAATCCTAACTTTTGGTTGTTGTTTTTAAGTTTAAAACAGAAGTCACATGTTTTTATTTCAGGTAGAAAAACTCAAATCAGAGGTGAGCAGACGGAGCAGCGAGCAGCAGAGGAAAACCCGAGAGAAAACCCTGGAAACGAAAAAGATGCAGGACCTCGAGCGTCAGGTTTGTGTCACATCCAAACAAACTAACTCACCAAACTTTTCACTCTCTGTCCTCATCACTCCGGCCTCTGTCTCTTTGTGGCTAAAGAGTCTCCCTGTCTTTACCAGGTGAAGGAGCTGGAGCAGATACTGAGACGTAGAAACCCAAACTCTCTCCCCGCACTGATCTACGCTGCAGCCTCAGCTGGAGGCTCAGAGGATGCTGGCGCTGCCAAAACGTCCCCACCGAGCAGGATCAACGCTCTGCTGGAGCGCAGGATCCAGCGTTTGGAGGCGGAGCTTGAGAGCCACGACGAGGAGGCCAAACGCAGCCTGAGGTCCATGGAGCAACAGTTTCACAGGATCAAGGTGAAGAAAACAGGAAATTTCCAAAGTGTTCTTGAAATTTTAACCAGACCTGATATTTACGAGTATTCTGCTGTATCTGCACCCTGCTGAGGTTTCACAGATGTTTTTGGTGGAGCTGGCACGAGTCTTTTCCTCAATGTACCTCTTATGTTTATAAATGTACTCCCAAAAAAAGAAATTTGAGTTAATAAGCTACATCAGATTTTTACATATGAATAAAAAACTCAGTAATGGTTCACAACACAAGAAGAAAAAAAAACGAACTGGAATTTGTTTGTGTTTAGCTCCGTTATGAGCAGCAGATCTCAGATCTGGAGCAGCAGCTGGAGCAGAAACAGCAGCTAGAAGCTTCAGATTTAAAAGCTGCAGCAGAGCCGTGGACGTCTCAGGTTCAAACTCTGGAGGAGGAGCTGAGGCGCATCAAAGAAACCCACCAGGAGAAGGAAAAATCCCTGCAGGACCAAATCGAGTCTCTGCGACAGCAGCTGAAACAAAAGGTTTGTACTCCAGGAGCTTGACAAAACAACTCCTTCAGCTCTAACTTCACTGTCAGCTCTACTATTCTGAATTAAACACATATATCCTTACTCATGCAGGCCCAGCCGAGTCCGAGCCGCCACCAGCGTCAAGCTGAAGCAGCTTTTGGCGTCCGAATCGACCGTCTGAATCAAGAGCTCGCTGCCAAGACCCGAACTGTTCAGGAGCTGAGCCACACTGTGGAGAGACTGCAGAAGGAGAGGAGGAACATGCTGTCAGGACCCAAACCCCGACCAGAACCTCGACCTGCAGAAAGCAAACGACAAGCAGGAGCTGCAAAAAGTGTAAGCGCAGCTCCTGCAGGAGAGGCGTGTGGAGGGGAGGAGACGTTCCCAGCTGCTGCTCAGTATGAGAAAACCTACCAGCCCACCATCTTTACAGGTACAGAGGGGCTCCATGGTCCTCTGCATGTTTAGATTGAAGTAGGATTCTTTTTTCAGCAGAGAAACAAGCTAGATACTCGATAACTAGATAAGGTCTGTGAGTGTGTGCAGCATCTTGGGATCTGAGTGTGTCCTCATGACTCTGAGAAAGTAACAGGTGCTTTAAACAAAAACTGAAACAAGCCTGACTTCTCTGGATCAGGTGGTAGTAGCTGCAAAGGTTGGTACTTTAACTTACAGCTGCACTTATTGAACAGAAGTTAAGTTACTTTTTTCATTAAAAACATTCAAAATGTGTCGCTCATGCACTTTTTACAATTCAAAGTAAGTGAGTTTGCATCACTGCTTACATCTTCAAGTCTGAGGCTTTGTTGAGTTTTTGTGTATTTTACTGCTGAAGACATTCGTGATGATTTCAGTGTTTTATTGTTGGGTCCTCTATTAGGAAGTCACATCTCAGAGGTCCTGCAGGAGAATGAGGATCTAAAGCGAGATCTGGAGCTGCTGCAGCAGCAGAGTGAACAAGACAGAGAGGCACTGAAGGCTGACGCTGCTCAGGCGAGGGAGGAGCTGGACAGGTATATGAAGCAGTTTGTGAGAACATGGACTGAGATTTTCTGTAGACACGATCAATCACTGGGCTGAATGTGTCTTCTCAGGCTGCAGGGGGAGTCTGCAGAGCGGCTGTCCTCACTGAAGGCTGAACACCTCAGGGTGTTGGATCAGCTACGCGCTGCTCACGCTCTGGAGCACTCTGCATCGAAGGTCGCTGAGCTGACTAATAAGCTTCACTCTCAGGAGGTAAGAGCCTGACCAACAGCTAACAGAGTGTTAGAGCCATGTCATAGAAGAAGAAAAATGGTTGTTACAAGAATATCGTCACAAACTTAGAGGGAGCCAGTGGATAAATTTTAAGGACAGAAGTGATGTGATGTTAGGACCTTATACTTGTAATCTATGACATTATTTTTAGAATCTCAAATTTTTCCACCTTAAAGAGGTTTTAACAGGAACTCCTGGAAAAAATAAAAAATCTGAATCTTTCAACTTTCTGCAGATTTTGGTGAAACATCTGCAAGAGCGACTTATAGAGCTGCAGGGAGCGAAGGATGCTCTGGTGATATCGAGGACCAGAGAGGATGCTCTGCAGAAACAGGTGGGAGAGCATCACATTTAAAACCCTTTAACTTTTATGGTAAAGAAAAAAAAAAGGTTTTTTTTCTTGAAGTTTTTATTGCAGTGTCGTCATCTTAGAAAATTAATACTTTTATTTTTTTTCTGTTCCACTCTCTATCTTACATCTGTATTTTTGTGGTTTATAGATATTGAACAAAGCGAGACTGTTTTATAAATCATTTGTTAGAGAAGTTTAAATCCTCTCCTTCCTGTGTTTATACTTTACAACATAAAGGTAAAGCACTTTTACAAGAATGTCATGTATCTCCAGATAACAGTGAGCAAATTGAATTAGATTATTTTAGCTTTTTTATCAATCAGATTTTTTTCTTTTTCGTTTTTTTCAAATATATTTCTTTTTCTAATTAAAAAGCTGAAGCCTTGTTCCCTCGATCAGCTAAACTGTCTGCGAATGATACCCATCAAAGAATAAGTCTGCGTCAGTCAATGTGAGAAGCTGAAACATGTTCTTGTGGTTTCCTGTTTCTTTATTGGGTTAAAAAGTTTTCTTTAAACTGAATAATAGGATCCAGTTTAGTTGTATTTTAACTCCTCATAATCCTGCTGTGTTTCACCTCCTGATCAGCTGACCAGACTGCTGCAGGAGCTGAAAGAAGCTAAAGAAGCTCAGAGTCCAGAGGTGAAGCTGCTGTGCAGTTTGGAGAAGAAGATCTTCAACATGGAGCTCAGACACCAACACAGAGAGAAAGAGCTGCAGCAGGTACCCACTGTTCACATAGGAGTTACCAAGATGTTCAAAGTCTCTCATTTGACTGATTACTAGTTAACGGGTGATAATTCACTTCAATTATTTAGGTGACATTTTGGAGGTGTGGTTCTCCGCTCTCTAAAACGCTCCGTCTTCCCCCTGTAGGTGATCGGCAGCTCGTGGCAGACGTCAGAGGGCGACCAGCAGTCAGAGGTAGAGCGATGGAAACGTCTAGCTCAGGATAAGAGCAGAGAGCTGGAGGCTTTCCGTCTGGAGCTGGACTCCATCCTGGACATCCTGAGACACCTTCAGAGACAGGGAGTGGTCCTGACCCCCATCACCACTCTCACAGCACCCACCAGCACCCAGAGAAGTTAGTGGTTGGGCTGATGGATGTCTTTTAAGCCAAACTGACTCTTAAAGGTTATTTTAACTTTCTATCAGAGTAACTTAATGGGACGAGAATACGTCCTTCCTGTTGACACTGCAGAACCTTATCTGAAAATAACCGACAATCACACTCAGAGGTTCAATTTTCAGGGTTCAGAGGCATTTGTCTGTAAAATGTACATTATGTAACTAGTTTCTAGTTTAAGATATTGTAACTTAATAAGATTCAGTGAAAATAAATGTTTCTCAAGTTTGAATAGTTCAGGTGATGTTTTGTCACACCATGTATATCTTTAAAATAAATTACGGTAACCCTTTCTTTTACGGTACACTTACCAGGTAATTAACAGGTAATTACCTAGTAACAACATAAAATTATCTGGTAATAATTACATGATAACTACTAAGTCAATAGTAGTTTTTCTTTTTTTCTTTTTCCTTTGCAGCTCCATTTTCAAAAGCTATTTGGGGTTCTTATTTTCTGTGATTGACACTGGAAATACCAGAGCAATTCGGCTTCAAATTTGTATGATGATGGAAGGTTACCTACCTGGTAGCTAGACAGTATTAACTTGGTAGTTATCATGTAATTACCAGATAATTTCATGTTGTTACTAGGTAATTACCTGGTAATAAGTGTACCGTAAAAGAAAGGGTTACCTAAATTACTCATAACATGATGCATTTAATCTTGTAACGTCAATTTTCCTTGTGATAAAATCTTTAAACAATACTTAATTCTCACAAAAATCACAATTTTTATAAATTTATTCTGGAAATCTAGTTTAAGAATAAAAAATATCTTATTTCTAATAAATCAAAGTCAGACCTTTAAAAACGTCACCATGATGCGTTTTATTTTACTGCAGCGTGAACATCCAAAATTGTCAGAAATGTAAATTCTCTTTTCGGCTTGCATGAAACATCATCATCATTTGTTTATCACAGAACAATAAAACTTTTTAAATAAACAGCTTTTCACTATTGAAACGTACATCACTCCTGGACTATTAAAGGTCGGTTCAGGTATTTTAAAACAAAGGGCCTGTTTTAACATATTTTAGTGTTTAAAGGACTAAAAGTTTTTTGAAATTGTCCAGAAGAAAACCCCAGCATCACAGCTATGACCGCTGCAACATTAGCTTTTAATAGGATGTAAGTATATTCAAGTATGTCCACTATAGTTCTGTTTTATCAGTGACAGGCACAGATTGTTGTTTTCAGAAGTACAGCTGTACAAATGTAAAAAGAAATGCTGTTATGATGTGAAACAAACAGGTTACTGGTTTTCTGCGGCTTCAATCTTTTTAAGTTTTGTCAGTATTTTGTCTCTTTTCTGTCCACCACAAAAAATGTGTGGCATCACCAAACTCACACAGTTGATTTAATGGTAGAAAAAAAAAGGAAGTAGACCACTAACTGATCAGCATGTGTTTTGCAGCGGTGGCTCAGAAATCAGTAACATAAGGGCTGTTTGTGGCAGCAACAGGATCTTCACCAAAACAAAAAGGTCTATCTGGGGCTCTGCATTAACGCAGTTGGTGAAGCAGGTTCCTCAGAGGCAGTATATAGTCCTCACCTCCTGTCTTATCCAATAAAGGCTAAAGATCCCACCTGGCGCCAAATAAATATGTCTGTCTTTGTAGGGAGCTGTTTTCAGACATGAACCCTGGAAAATCCTAGAAAATGTCAGAACCTCTGAGCTGGAAATTGTAAGTCATGTTGAAATTTTTTACAATCCTGTCCAAGATTAAATCCACTCGTCCTTAAATTAACTTTTCAGAAGTTAAACTTTCCTTCAAGCCTTGTCATTTTCCTCATGGCCCCTGGAACATGTGTCTATAGATTCACAGCTGTTATCATTAACGATTGCAATAAAGTTTATTTTCCAAAGTTAGCACACAGAAACAGAACATTATGTAAGCTTTACAACCGTTTTCACTCATACAGCTCACCCACTGGGGACTTTTCAGGATGTTTTTTTCATTCATGTCTGAAAGGGTCAGCACACAAGCTTCTACCAGGTGCATTTGGCTCAACAAAGTACAGCCCATGTTGCTGCTCTTCCAGCCCTTTTTATGGCTGCCTGCTGCAATCGACTCGGTTACATCCAGAATTTTACAGAAAAATAGGCCCCATATTCAAAAATACCGTGTTACACTTTTAATTCAGTCCCAGACACTGACCAAACTACAGTACTGCATCGTGATTTCCACAAAGCTTGTTATAAATGCCCGGCTTGTGCTGCGTCTGCTTTATCAGACCTTCAGTGCATAGAGATACAGCGCTCCTTTCATTTCACACTAACACAGTTATATAAATTACAGCAGACTCTCTCCCTCACACTCTCAGGCACACTCAGTCTTTGCAGCGTTCAGTCGTGTTGAGGCAGAAATCTTCAGCCCTGGAAAGCATGGAGCTCCTCTTCACTGAAGCCCTGCTGCTTCAGCAACCTGGGACATGAGCAGACAGAACAAGAGGTTAACTCGGGACCTGCTGGAGAACTAAACAGAACACAGCTCAGGATTTCAGGTCAATAATTACTACAGAAGTGGTTAAAAGTGATGCCAAACTTGTAAGCCTGGAGGTAAACAGACAGATTCTGTAGTGTGCGGTCATGAGGACATAGAAAGATCCTATAATGATCTCATGATGAAGGTTGACATACCCTATCGTGAGCTCTGTGAAGGCAGTGGGGCCACACACACACGCGTAACATTTAGACCCGTCCGGTCTGTCGAGGACATCTTTCAGCATGGACTCGTCCACACGACCCCTCTTTTCAGTCCAGCTCTCAGAGGGATCAGAGAGGACATACTCCACCTGAAACCTGAGGCAAAAACACACAAATATATTCTGAAGGATGTAGAGATGAACAAAAAAACAGATTAAGATAATCTGTTGCATCTATCTGTGAGGCACACTCTGTACCACCCTTGCATGGATTTATCTCACATGATCCACCTCCTACTTCATTATATTCAGATTATATAAAGAGGACACGCTGTGTGTGACAGGGACAAACAGAATAAGGCTGTAAACAGTGACACATAGCTGCAGTACCTCTCACTGTTAGCAGCCAGTTCATCCAGCTGGCAGCGCCACAGGATGTCCTCCTCTCTCCGGTTAAAAAAGAGCAGCTTGGTTTGTCTGCAGACACACAAAGATTATGAGGATTATTGAGCAGAAGTGGGTTTATCAGCAGATACAAACGTACTTAAGCAATTCAGGCATCAGAAAATTATTAGAAGAAAAACAAAAAAACAAAAAGCAACAAACTATTTTTCCTCTTGATCGGAGTCTGTTATTGTTCTCACCTGATGGACTCAAAGTCCTGCAGTGCCGCCTGGATGAGACGAGCCATGGGTGTGAACCCTGTGCCTGCTGCCAAAAGGTAGAGATGTGTGACATCACGAAGGGGGCGGAGACTGAAGGTCCCCTCTGGACCACTGACACATAAATGGTCACCTAAGGAGAAAGAAGAGAATAAATAAATGAATGAAAACAAAAGATGTCTTTGTACAAACATCTGGAGTGACTGCAAACATCACTTTGCTCGAGGGTACTGAAGAGAAAAGGCGACACAGGGGTTTGTGGATCTTTGTTACTCTATTCACAGAAACACTGATTTAACCTTAAAGAACAGAGAGTTGATGATAACTACAGTCAAAGCAAACTACTAAGGCTTTTCTCAACTACGCAGACCCTGTATTATGTTTCAAAGAACTAGGGCCCAGTTTAAAAACACAAAAATAGCTTCTTCTGTCAAACATTTAACCCCATACTTTTCAAAAGTGGGTCTGACAGCTCTTTCCTCTCTTTTCTTCTCTGCCCTGTTACTCACCGATGTGCAGGCTGTTGAGATGAGGTGTGAGCACCCCATCAGGGTAAACTTTGATCATGAGGTAGAGATCTGAATCCTGTGAGGAGTTATTGGAGGACACTGACAGGTTCTGACCCACTGGAGTGTACGCCCTCACAACTTCTGTGTCTGAAAACAGATGAAAACATTTAAGAAACATACAACTCCTGTGAGGTGTTTGAAACAAAGTGAGCCCCACTCTGGCAGGAGGAGGAGAATTGACGATTAAACAGAGCATACCTGCACGAGTTACTCAGTGTGTAAGGTAGACATGATCAGAGTCTCCTACCGACGTTTAGAGAAATGTACTCCACACTGACTTAAAGGAGGAAAGAGGAGGACCCGACTGATTGTGCTGGCTTTAAGTATGGATATTGTGCAGGACTGTGCTAAAGTTTAAATTAGTCGGTCCATTAAGTAAGAGATGTAATTTGTTGAATTAAAGCATCAGTGCTTTTGGGTTTTAGTGCCGGTAAATGTCAGATAATTGCCTGCATAACTATTCAGATCTGATGTCCAATAGTTTTTCCCATACTGCCTGAATTCTGGTACATGGTTCAACTTTCCAGTCAGCAGAAATAAAAGTCCACTCTGACTTGTATCACAAAGTCAGCAAGTGGCACTCATGTTCTCCGTGTTATTGTCCGCTGTACAACAGTACAACATGGCCCAGTGTGAGTGCTCCCCAAAACTCGACTCAGTTCCCAGGCTAAAGTTAAGCCAGCATCTTAAGACGCCACTACATGGTATCAATGAGATCATGTCCGTGTTTTATACCATCTGTGCTTAAGTCTGTCTGCTTTTTTTTTTTTTTTTTTTACCTTGAATGTTTGCTTTGAGGTAGACATGTTGACCGACAGGCACATGCCTCACAGTCCCACGTGGAAGTTGTAATCTGAACACGTATGTGTTGTGGTTCACCTCAGTCTTCGACACCAAGACGCATTCTCGGTAAAAAGGAGCTGGAAAAGAAAGATCGCAGACATAAAGATGGATTTAGAACACTTTTTCCTCACACGCAATTTTGGCATTTAGATCTCTGCATATCCTGGCTAACCGCTGAAATTAAACCAAATATATTATCATTGTCCAAAAAATCTTAAAATAAGCAGACACTATATTCAGAGGATTATCTTCCTGTATCCTGAGTCTCACCTCGGTCTTTTTTCCGTAGGAATGTGTTGTGAAATTCCAGCGGCTGTCCTAAACTCTCCCATTTTCCTTTAGTCTGTTTACGTATGGTGACCTGGATTTTTCCCACTGAGAATGAGGTGTGAACTGAAGAAATGACAAAAGAAAAATTAGAAAAAAAAACATGAAGATTGTGCTGAATATTAAGCATTATATAGGATATTATCTCACCAGAAACATTTCCCTCCACTTCATCAGCTAGACCTGCAAGAGAGTGATCACACTAGTATAGTTAACAACGGGGGGTCAACAGCAAGGCAATAGTTTTGTAACCAGATTATGGTAGAAGGTTCATAATATACACAGTGTGTACTGAAAAAAGAAACATAGTTTTCATAGGTGCAAAGTTAGGTTTTAACACTAGGAGAGGAGCATTGCAGTGAGGAACAAAAAGCAACACGGAAAGTTAAAAGTGCCTCAACATGTATCATTTTGTTTAGTTTTAGAAGAAAAATGAGCTTCAACTCACGTAAATGAATCATGTAGGACATTTTCCCCAGCAGGACCTCCAGTCGAAGAACACCTGCCTCCAGGTCGACCTGGGTGCAGCCTGAGCTAGGTAACTAACAGAGAAAACAAATGTGACATTTTGGTTTGGACAGAAATACGATATATCCCAGTATTTATGAAATAGCAAAGGTGCCATGTGGATGCAAAAATTAAACGAGTGATTACCTTTCTCTTGGCATAAACCACCAGATGAACAGTGACGTCAGTTTGGAACCAGTCGTACCTGCATGAATGAAAGACGGGTGGTTATAATGCAGCAGATTTTGTCTAAAATTTGCATGTGACTGTATAAAGTGTTGCTCAGTTGTTCGTACCGAGGCCGCGAGTCTTTGTCTGGAGGAGGAGGAGCCACTGAGACAGGTGGGAGGAGGCTTGTGGGTGGTGGAGGAGGAATCATGGCTGAAAAAAAAGAAGAGAACAAATGTCAACAGCTTGGACTAAAGTCAAATGTTTGCCATCACTCAATAAATTGTCCGGGTGTCTGTTACTATTTAAAGTAACTTCTCATCTGGGTATCTAGTCTTCATTCAAACTTAGGGGTGAAGTTCATATTCCATTCATAATGGAATGAGCATTTTGGATTGAAGTCTGTAGTTTGCTGTTTCATCCATCAAAGGGTGCTCTTACTGTAACCTGACCAGTAAATAGTAAAGAACTGTAAAGGAGGAGGTCGCCAGAACAAAGGGTTTGAACAAGAGAATCAAAATGGAAAAGGAGGTTTTTAAATAAAACGAAATAATCAAGTTCAAATTGAAAAGTGTTTGAATAAGTCAAAGAAGGTCTGCCAAAGTGAGTTTAAAGAGGTGATTTAAAATATGTCAGTGATTCAGCAAGTCTTATTGGGCTGCATATTCTGCTTCTGCCATGCTGACTGCTGATAAAACTGTAAAATGGGGTAAAGATTCAAATATCAGCACATCATGTTTTATATTTGTGCACACTTGATTTTTGAAAAAGTAATGACCCTGATATAAAAGTGCTAAATGTTGGGGAAAATAGTGTCCAATGATTTCCATTGATAGAACAGCACTGTGTACAGATTTTATTCAAGTGTTACTAAACTTTGTTCCAGCCAAGACAAAACTTTGACGGACTTCAGGACGATTTCTTTTTCAAACAGTCGGTAAATAAAGCTCATAGATCTGTCAGTGAATATTCCCTCATCTCTGTGTTAATAATGAAGCCAGCATGGTCCTGCATGATGGAAAATTGTTACTGAGGAATCCAGACACAGTAAGTTTTTAACTAAACTTGATAAAATTGAGACAGTAGTTTTGGCTGACTCTTTTTTTCTGCTCTCCAAAAAGAAGTGAGCAACAAAATAAAGAAAGTTTAATTTGAACTTTAAAAGCCTCTTGTAAACAAAGTGATGCCTCATATCTGTTTCCTAATCTTGTCTTGTTCACACATAAATACAAATCTCCTGTAGCTGTCTTTCAGTGATCAAGCGCATCACTAATTGTGAATTTTTGCCATCGGGAAACAAAAGGCCTGTTTTCAGTGTCTTGTCAATCACCCGTCTAGACATCCTCCTGCGGTGGTCTCAGGGACTGAGTTATGATGAAGAAACCATCCGTCTTGTTGCTGCTGGTTTCATTTGCTTTTGTTGGTGTCAAAAAAAGCATCACAGAAAATGTCATTCTGTTTGGCAACTCCACACTGCAGCTCTACACTCTGAGTAGTGGGTGTTCCACTGGGATTAAGGTGGTGAAATCTGGGGATGTGTGTGCCCGTGTGTGTGTGTACCTTTAAGGGCTGCAGGGACTTTGGTGGCCATCCTGCCAACCAGGCACTCCTTCAACATGGACTCATAATTCACCCAGCGATGGACCTGTGCACAAACAATGACCATCTATTACACAAGCAGCACATGAGATGATTTGTGTAACATCTTTTACACAAGTTCAGTTGTGAAAGCAAGACAATAAAGTAAACCATCAATGATTTCATTTTGACGACAATAAATCAAGTGCAAATACTGCACGATAAAAACAAGCAACGACATGCACCACAAGGTACGAACTGGAGTGTGAACCCACTGAGTCACCTAACCATAGTCACATTAAAAAGCTGAATAAGCTGAAGAGGGTTGACAAATTAAAAGAGACATCAATATGAAGTGCACATCCTCAGTGCTCTACAGGTCTCTGAACTCTGAGAGAGCACGATGCAGGACTGGGGTGTTTTTGTGAAGTCATTTTAAACAAATATCTTTAACACAGGTTTTATTGTTCAATGTGTAGAAAAGTCGCACAAAAATACAGGATGAACCAAATTTTGTTTTTGTTTTTTCTTCTTATTTACATTTTTGATGTATCGGAGATCCAGGATGCATCCCCAAGACAGGGGCTAAGTTAGACCCTCCATTAACTATTGCTAAATCTACAGTAAACTTCACAGATACTTAGTATTATGTCTTTAAATGATCATCTTATGGACCTTTCAGCTGACCCTGAAAACTCATTGTATTTTGACTTCATTGCATATAAATCAAAATGTCTTAAATACCTTCACAAAGTAGGATTTCCTTCCTCCTTTCATACCTGGTCAAATAGTTCAGTACCGTCTATCCCTGCTGCCTTCATCAGCTCCTCTTCTCCTCCAGGGTGGTAGTCCATGTAGGGGGTCACATTGTAAACCATCCCTGTAAACAACACAAAAGAAAAAAAATGCATGCTAAAACTTTTCAGTGATCATGACAACAATTTCATCTGTGGTCAAAATAAATATAATTAATCAGTCTATGAGGGTAAATATTACCTAATACCTTGACATTACGATCATGTTATTATATTCAGGGGTTGGCTCAGCATGGAAATTAAACCTGGCATATACAGGCACACTTTTCTCACACTTATGGATAGTCTAGTAGAGAAATTTATATATTTTCAGCGCATTGATGTTAATATATTCCTATTGCGCAATTAAATTAGAGACTAAATTCAAATTAAAAATGTAAAATGTACTGACTTTCTCATCTTGATGATATTGATGTTACAGATGCTTCCTTCATGACCTTGACCACACAGTAAAATGTTACAGCTTGTTTAATTTAAATGTCTGCATTGTTTGTGTCTCCGGATCAACCAGAGCTACTTGTGGACCACCGTCCTCATGCACAGCTGTGGCACGGTGACAGCTAACTTTAGTTGTTTGCTAAGTTAAATTAGTTAAGTCAGAATAAGTCAATTTTTTTAGTTAAGATAAGATAAGTTAGAATAAGTTAAGTTGTTTAGTTAAGATAAGTTAAGTTAGAATAAGTTGAGTTGTTTAGTTGAGATAAGTTAGGTTAGAATAAGTTAGGTTGTTTAGTTAAGATAAGTTAGAATAAGTAAATACACTGACTCTTCTCAGAGAATTAATTGACAACAGGCACTGGCTTTTATTTATGGTCTCCTCTGGCTCCTCCTTTCAAAAAAACACGGTCTTTCTGGCTCCAGAAAATAAAAAAAAACAAATGGGTTGTGTTACAGTGACTGCACAGTCTATGGTTTTGATGTGCACTGGGTAGTAGCTTTTTCGCAAGCTAATGACTCAGACTTCTCTGTAAGTTGTTTCGCAATGTTTTGCACACCTTTATGTTGCGTGGTTTTGTAATGCGGCCTCCTCTCCTCCAATAAAACCCTCTGGTATCCTGCTCTGTTCTTAGTATGAACTGTTCAACTAGATGATGAATTAGTTTAAGAAGTTGACGGTTTGGTTTCGTTTCTCAAAGACCACAAATCCCTAGCTCCTCTCCAGCTCCTCCTCCTCTCACACTGGCTCTCTAAATAAACAAACAAACCTGAAGCTTCAGCTAAGGGCAGTAAAAAGGACTTCACCTTGGACTCATTAGGCACTGCCTCAAAAGTCCTTGGTTGTGTTTTGTGGTTATTTATTTTGATGTTATGTGTTGGAATGTGGTGGCGCAGTTTTAGTATAGTGTTCTTGGATATATGATGGTGCTGTGTGATTGAATTTCATGTTTTGTAGTTTGTCATTTGCCATGTTGGACTGTTTTGTGTTTTTATGTATTGTGTTGTGTTGTCATGTGTTCTTATGCGCTCTGTTTCCTTATCTTGTGATGTGTTGTTTTGTTCTGTGGGTTGGAATGAATGGATATCTAGATGGATGGACATAAGGGAAAAAAAACCCTTATGATAATTTTAACTCAACAAGATTCTTTTGCTGATCAACCAACACCTTTACTGACCGAACTGCAAGATGTTTTATAACCACAGAAAGAAAAGACAGAGTGATTAAGAGGGTGGGTGGACAGAAGGAAAAACAAAACCCTTATAATCATTATTTAATCTACTTTAAAGTTGTGTTGGTGGTCAGACAACAAGATCCTGTAACTTATGCTAATCAACAAACACCTTTAATGGCCAAACTACAAAATGTTTTTAACCAAAGACAGAAAAGAAGTAATAAAGAGAAAAGACGGACAGAAAAAGAAAGAAAGGATTTGTTTTATATGTTTTATAATATTATCTCGAAGACATAGAGTGTTCAAGAAAAGCCAGTCCCCCCTCCCGGGCCTGACAGTGAGTCAGCGCCTCCCGTGATGTGCTTGTGCCCCCCCGGGAGGGTGTTTCCCCCCTGGTTGAGAACCACTGGTTTAGAGGATATGCATGCTGGGCTTCCCTCTTTGAAAACTCCCTCTCTGAACTCCACACCGATAAAGTGGGACAAGTATCCTCAAGCTGACATTAAGAGTCCTCTCAAGTCCTGAGTACTACAGGCTCCATGAAGGTTATTCATCTGTCTCTCTGGCTTCAGACTGACCCCTTCTCCATGCAGGCTCCCTCACCTCTTATGCAGGTCCAGCAGTCCTCTCTTGTGTTGTGTTTCTGCAACTCTTCTGATGTCACTTCAATCAAGCGTCCTCTGAGCCCTGTCAGGTCCTTTCCACTCTTAGCGAAGCGGATCCAGTCCATGAGACTGTGACCCGGCTTCAAGGCCACCTGATGATTAGGCAAGAGCAGAGTCATCACAAAACAGAAAGGCTGTTTGTTTACTGTGAAGCGATGTCAGACCAGGTTTAATTTATGACTCTGCCTGAGGAAAGTTCTTCTAACATACTTATAACAGAATCTAGTCCTGAATCTGAGAAGCCTTGTGACTCTGAATGGAATGGGGGGAGGAGTTCAAAACACTATTCCGGTCCGAGTTTGATCAGTCAGTTTGCCTATTGGTATAAAGAGTATTAGCCTTCAGTATATCTACAGTATACATATAATTTTTTATAACTTCATAAAAAAATTACAAAATTGGCTGATTAATCGTATCGGCATCAGCCCCAAAAAATCCATATTGGTCGGGCCCTAGTCTGGAGATACAAACAAGGCCCCTTTTTTGCATTTTCATAAACATAATACAGGTTTTAGAAATCACAAATTGTGTTTCTAAAAGACTGTAGCCTCTTCAGTTGAATGGAGTCGAGATCTGATGTCTGTTCATTCTGGCTCTGGACTACAACCCCATTTAATATAGCCTTAAGGCATAGAAAACACAGAATTGCTTTTTATTACATTTTCATTAACCTGCCTAAGGTTTCACACATCCGAAAGTGTGTGTTAAAGATACTGTGGCCTCTCTAGAACAATCCAGTCCCAGTTTGAGAAGTCTTAAATACTGTGGTTTTGGATCAGAATCTATGTGGTCTAGAGATGAAAATAAAAGTGAACTCACTCTTTCGTTATTTTACACTACTAGAATAAAAGTTTCTTCGACTTGTAACTGTGTTTTTAAAAGAGTGCAAACTCTCTTACATAACCTGGTCCTGATCTGACAAGTCCAAAAACAGTGGTTTTAAATCAGGACCTTGTTTTCATAATCTTTTTTATCTCAGCTAAAATGAAAGCAGTGAATAGGACATAAAATTTAACGTCGTTACAAGAATACACAGGGTTAGCTCAAGAGTCCTTATTTAAGTGTCCCTAAATGAGGCAGATTTCCGTGTGTTTGGGCGTTACCTTGTTTCTCCCGGACTGCCCGGACGGAGCGACCCGCTGCTGGGAGCCCGGAGCTGGGAACGCCTGGGTCGGTATGTTCAACATGATCTGGACGCTTCGGAGGCAGCCCCAGTCTCTGAGAAAACCTATTCAACCAACGGGAGACGAGGTAAACGACACATGGACTAGGGTCGTGCGGTCCCCGTGGTCTCTAGTTGGTTCTGAAGTCAGCTCCTTCCTTGTTGTGACACATCTGTGTTAAGCAAAGCTGCTTAGCTAAACCGGCTAAGCTAAGCTAGGCTACAAATATTTGCTGACTTCTTCAGCAATACCGGATAAACTAATGGTTAAAATATAAAGACGGTAGCATTAGCCGTGTTGACAGATCAATTTTTAAGTATATTCTTTCAATGCAAACAGTGAACTAACGGTGAACTACCGTCTTATTTCGCATTCATCGTTCCGCTGCAATGTGGGGACTACAGAAATTGTCGCATTTTTGATGACAACGTAAACAAATGATGTCATCAATGTGCGACAGTCATCCGTTACCATGGTTGTGCTGCGGCGCCTTGAGTGCAAAAAAACTGACTGGAAACAGCCTAAATAATGATCCACAGAGACATCTCTGAGCCATCTTACGTTCATTTACTCATTTTAGTATCTTATATTTAACTATATGTGTCTTTATTTATCGGTATTTATACTTATTCGTAATTTCGTAATTGTTAAAACGTTTAATTTTCCTTATTTCTGTGCCCTGTTAAAGAAAGACTGCCCACTTTTATATTTCAGCGATATATTATAAAGTCAAATTTAAAAGCCACAATACTTTGTCTTCTTGTGTTCGTATTACGAACTGCAGCTTTTTACAAAAGCACCAACAAACGTGTAAAGTGGTTTAAGTAGGGTTTGTCTCGCAAATATGACGACATTTACAGGAGAAATAACATTGATTTATTTCAGTCAAATAGACACACTGAACAATACAAATAACCCACCTGGGAGGAAACTGTTAAAAACAGATCTACAACTCCTTGATTCACTCTCATGGTTATCATCATCATCATCGTCGTCTTCCTCTCCTTCTGAATCTCTCTGGTTTTCATCTGACATCCTGAAGAGCTGATTTCCCAAACTGCATGCCGTTTGTTTCGTGTTAACATGGAGCACCTCTGATTCTGGCCGGGAGGGTTTACTTTGAAAGGCTTAACTACTAAGAGGATTGAGGCTTTTCAAAATAAAATTCCATGAGCACACTGTGAATACTGTTTTAATGCTGAATACTTTATTATTATTATTATTATTATTATTATTTTTCACAAAGGAAAAAGACAAAAGAGGGCGGGGATGTGTTTACAATTTTAAATAAAAATAATTAAAACTTTGACTGTTTTTAAATCTGCAGTTAAAAGGCTGGAGTACAAACTCTCAGAATGCCTCTGTTTTAACTGATGTTTCCATACATTTTTATTCTGTATTGAGTCTTTGTGACTGTTTGTTGTAACTATTTATTGCTGCCATTCTCGGTCAGGTCTCTCTTGCAAAAGAGATCCTCAGATCTCAATGGGACAAACCTGGTTAAATAAAGGTTAAGTAAAATTACACTGAAAACAGCAGTCATTTAGGGGAGTGATTTTCTTTTTCTTTCTTTTTTTTTTCTTTTTTTACTTTTTAGAGTTTCAGGATGATTCCCCAGTTTGACAGTGGCTTTCCTTTTTGTACAGCATTTATTCTGTGTAAATAAATGATTATTAAATTTAACATTGGCTCATCTCTGCCCACAGTTTGGGGACTGGGGAAGGAAAAACTCACTGTTCTTTTTGAAACTGTTGATTACCTACCCCCCTAGTCGGGTGTGTAACCATACCATCACTTTAACTTACAGACAAGAGCATCTCCTAATGTCTTGGGTCTAAACCAAATTAAATCCAGATCAAAGTATACAGCTTGGACATGCTCACATCTCTTTGTTGCCTAAATAAGAGCTTCAACGTTTTGAGAAACGAGTATCCCGTTAATCACAAAAAAAAAATAAAACTGAGGATATTTCTGTCAAGAGAATGAAACACGCAACCACTGCAACTATACCAGTTTTAATGCTGATATTTAACCTCACAAAATTGTCACAAATCGATGTACAGACTTTAGTAACTGAGGTTCTACTATGCAGCATCCTGAAGGTGGCAGCAAAGGTCAACATTACAGACTCCCTGGTTGCCACAGTCAGATCTTTCATGCAGTTTAATATTTCTTTTTTCATGATGTTTGAACTTGAGCACAGAGGGGGCAAATCTCTCCTTGTTACTGTCACTCTAAAGACACTCAGACAGTTATATTTTGAGTTAAATTTTATTACAAAGCTTAGTGTTTCTGCAATGCTGTGACATATGCAACTTAAAGTATCATGTTTAATTTCCTCCTATTCCTTAACATGTTTCTGCAATCCATCCCCTTCCTCTTTTTGTATATTTTCTTTCTTTTATATCCCCCTCATTTGTCACTCTGCCCATCTCTTCCTCCCTCCCTGCAGATCCAGCATCAGGGCAGATCATTATTATTTCAAAACCATTTGCCAGATCATTACCAGCTAATCCCTTGTTTGGTCTGATGAGTCACGCGCCTCATTTGCCACGGTGCCGGGCAGCGTGGGGCCCTTTCACAAATACTGGCCGAGGACCACTGGCCTGCCCAGTGGGGCCACCGGTCCACCGGGATGAGGGCGGGGGAGGAGTGTTTCTCCAAGGCCAGCAGGGATCACAAATGCAGCAGAGTGAAAGTGTGAATCTTTGATTTTAATTATTGTTTAGACCGGTGCTTTTCAGGAGATGCTGAAACCCGGAAGACTAATTGTCATCATTATCTTGTTTAAAGTCAAGCACTTTGTGCAGCAGTGATAGAAACCTTTTCATCATTTTTACCCCATGTGTCCCCTTCTTCACGAAATCTATACCACTTAACACTTTTTAAAGACAAGTCCTTAAACTCAATTTCTTAGCAACAATTAAAGGCTGTAGCACAATGTGATTGTGTCTCATATATATTTTAAATCCTTGTCTTTTGAATTCTCAGCTGAATCCAGAACTCATCTTTTACAACAAAATGATTCATAAACTATTTCTTAACCAATCCCTTGAAAAATGTCTTTAATTAAACTGTTTTATAAGCAAAGCAGAAAAAAGTACAGCTCGATTTTCATATTTACAAAATTCCAAAACCTTTTATTTTATTCCCGATGAGGTACCAGCCCTATTGTAACTTTTCTGCATGGGATCTGGGTGGACATATATGAGAACTCAGCAGGGAATTTCCACCACGAACATTAGACAGGAATGATGACATTAATATTAGCCGACCTGTAAGAGCAGCATGCAAGACCCAAGGTTTCAGGAGAATCATTTTCAAGACAAAGTTAGCAGAGATGTCTGTAGATCTGTTTAGAAATAGTACCAATGTATCTTAAAATTCAGAGTGTAAAACTTCTGTCTGAGTAACAAGTTGGCGGCATACACCTTTGAAAATATTTCATCTGTATAAAACATGGATAGAGCTGTTTTCTATGGTGCTGTGTTATAACCAGATGAGCAACAGCTCAGATGCAAAGCCTGCTGGGATCAATAGCGACATGCCAAAAATAATGACAGGCTGGCATCACCACTTTCAAACAGCTACTTTGCCTCTTTAGGTCAAAATCATGCATTAAAAACACATATGGTGGTGTTCTGTTAAAGAAAACTGTGGAGCGCTGATTTGATCCAAAAGACTCCTAAATTCGATCAAAATGACTGAAGTCATCAAAGTGCTCAGCCACTGTTTTATGTGTTTTTAAGAAACATGTGTTACACCATTGGACATCCTGTGAGTGAAGGCGTTTGGTTTATTGCTGTTTCACATTAATTTATATCTAACTGATTCAGCAGCATGTTAGTTAGACTGATATACATTTCTCTGGATCCCGATCAGCTTGGAGGAAACTACAGTATTGTATAATAATGCGCTCAAATATAGTGGATTCGTCTCAACATTGCTCTCCATCGAATACTGATCCTCCTCCCACCAGTATGGGAGGTGAATTAATGTATTTTAACCTGTTTTTCAACTTTCAAATAAGTTAAAGTTTAGCTGTATTTCCTCTTGTTCTTTCAAAATTTAAAAAGACTTTCCTGCAGCTTTTGCTGAGCAAGCTGAAAGCCTGACAGAATTCGGTAAAAGTGACCTTTGTTTTTTTTGGGTGAAAGTAAAACAAGATTTTCCTAACTGGACCATGGTGAACATATTATCGGCCTTTTAGACTAATAATATACTTATATTTGGCATTTTTCCCACTGCATGTTTGATTGTGATGACATGTTCATATGCCTGGTAACTGCATGTGAAACTGACCAAAAGTTGGCAGATACCAGCATATGTTAACCCTGAAAGAAACTCAGCTGAAATTGGACCTGCAAAAAGTGTGGTATTTTAAAGTGTGGTTGTAAGAAGTACTCATCACTAACAAGTGTTTCATCCAAAGACATTTAATAAAGTTCATATGTAATTAAAAATATAAATTTATTGGGGTACTCTAGCAGAAACTAAGCTTCAAAACTACATGTAAACACAACCATCTGCATGAAATTTTACAAAAAAATCAAACTCCTTGTAATTGAAGTAACAAACCTCGACAAGTTGATAAGTGTTCTGGTCACATTGTAGGAAGCCAGCTATTAAACAAAACCTCTGCAGAGGAAGAGGGGACACTGACACAACAGTATATCATATCATAAATATGAATAGTACAGGGTTGTTATGTTGTAGTCAGCCTTTCGCCAACACCTTTCTTCAGAAATGTTCCAGTATGTTACATAATAAGCCATCAAGGAGACACCAAATTGTAATGAACAGAAAGAAGACACATCGACACCTACTGGCCTATTTTTGTTTATAAACCAATTCTTACCTTTTGTTCACAGATGGAAAGGGGGAACAGAAGTTGACTTAAAATAAAAACCAGCATGTCGAGTCTGTTATTAGTAAGAAAAAGAGTTTTGCGCTTTGCCACCAGGAGGAGGAGGCCCCTTCAGTTGGCATTGTTTTGTGGATGTTTTGCGGTTCTCTGCTTGAAGGACTGAGAGCATCAATTTTCCTCTGGTTCAGTTTAAAAATCAAAATGTTTTATTCTGTGAAAATTCAGCAACAGTTTCTAAAGACTTTCTGCAGGACTCTTCATCTGTGCCAGGACTCTACACTCTATCTCTGAGGACAAGTTGGATCTTACTAAAATCAACCCATTAGTCCTTTAATGTCCATCTGTTTCTTCCTGTATGTGTTCAGTCTGACTGCCAGTGTGGTCTCGTAAACATTCACACCCTGCAGACTGTTGCTGTTGACAGTTATTTCCCAGCAGTACACTGCTCTTTAATGCAAACACACTGCCATATGGTTGTGTGTGTGCCATAGTGACCTGTGTTTCCTTCAGCGGGTCATTTTGCCACGCGGCTCCTGATGCCACAGCTCAAGGAGTTTCCATGGTAACAGATGAGGCAGAAGTGTTTGAATAAAACTATGGATTGAAACTATCAATTGCTGTTTTTTATATCCTCATAGTGAAGTTACATCTCTGTATTCTGCATCTAAAATGAACCCAATGAGCACCAACCTGGAACTGAAAACTAAAATTTAATAAAAAACAAAACCTAACCAGGTCTGGGCACCTAAAACCTACTTTCACCTATCTAAAGACACCAATGTGTTTGAAATACAGTGTTTTATAATTTTGATAAACTATTGGTCTTTATCATGACCAGTGACAGCACAAGTTGTAAGCACAAGCAGAATTGTTGTGATATGACTAAACTTACATCCCCATTACATCAGCTCATCTGAACATAGACTTAGGAGGTGTAAGGAGACAGTATAGCTAGAGACCTGCTGACATCACTTTAACTTAAGTGCCACGACAGACCACCCATTCATCATGGTGGGAGTAACGGGACTGTTGCTGTCAGTGTGAGCGACCCCGTGGAGAAACTCTCAGCAGGAGAAAACCAACCGAGGAGCCATTAGACCCGAGGCAGAGCCTGGCCTGTCCGTCAAAGGCAGCGTCTGTTTGAAAAATGTCTTCAGGGTGGGGAGTTCGGAGCCAGCTGACTCTGTAAAAATATCCTGAGTGAGGAGAGAGTTTTCTCTGTAGCTCTCCAACTCCAAATATAGATTAAAAGCTGGCTTCCTTATGTTGAGGTAACTATGATACTGTAAAAGCATGCCTTTATTATGTCAGAAACGAACCGTTTTGTGAGTTATTTATGAATTATTTTGCACTTTATTTTGACCCTTTTTTAGGAGTATTTTTCTTTTTTTTTGGAGACAAAGTTTAGTGTGGTCAGACACTGTTCAAAATTGTCTTGGAAATAGAATTAACTGGCAATGAAAGAGTCAAACTTGATTCAGTGATTCTTAACTAAGGCCTGTAGTATTATTTATCCAACGATTTAGGTCTTTACTCTCTATAAATGCTTAATGAGGAGTTCTCAGCTGGTTACAAAACAGCAATGTTGATGCATCATAATGAGTTACGATGTATCCTCTAATGAGGTTAAACAGATCACTGATCACTTTAATATGCTCTGAATAAAATACAAAATGATTGCACACTGCTCCAGGCTTAACTTGGTAAAAGTCACTGCTGTCAGAATTTGTGGAATGAAATTCAGAGACATCTCTGTGCTTTTGATGGGAACATTTCTCTTTTTAAAAACTCAGTCTGCTCAATTGACAACTAAAAGTTTTATGCACTTTGTGTCAAACAGAATTTAGTGTTTTTAACCTACCACTTTGAGGTTCAGCTATACTGGACAAGTGCAGCTAATTAGACTGATAATAGAGCGCAACAGCAGTCCTCTATCGTGTAAAACTGTATAAATTAAAACATTTCGGGAAAAAAAATCGAGAAAGTTTCTAAACGAGAACTCCTAAAAAGTGTAAATGCATTATGAACATCCATGCCATTCAGTCAGTGTTTCAGAAATAGCCCTACTAATGTGACATTTTACAGTATAAACTTGTACTTCAGCTTATCTCTATGTTTAATAGTTTTATCCTTCAGAATATAATTAAAGTCTGAATTTGACGGTAGGTCTACAATGCCAAATCTGTCATGTGCAAATTGGTCTTAATCTGATATTCTGAGATTGATTACTTCGGTCTGTATGAATTTGAACATTTTGAATATATTAAAAAAGCTACGGCCACAGATCTCATAAATGCTCAGTCCTCTGATGTGTAACAAAATGCTCACATGAAGCTCTCCTTCTTGGAGCTGTAATTTTGACCTCTTGTTTTTAATCCCCCGTTTACCTCAGGTGCCCTGCTGGGTTCAGTTTCATTATAAGTAATTAAACATCAGGGTTTATGGATATGGAGACTAACAATAAGCCAGAGACAGTAGAGCTGACAGTAAAAACTGCCCTCTTTAATGAGTCTGGCCTTTCGTAGCTTCTTAAATGTTGTGCACTCATGATAATTAATGGAAATGGTTGGCTCATGCTAATTGCTCCGTGCTTTGTTGCTGACTGTCTCAATAATTTAGATCAAGGTTTATTCATTATTCACTGGGTGCTGATGGTATCACATGCAGCCTGCAGGGGGTCAGGTCATAGATTGTAATCACAGTTGGACAGGTAAAGGTCTACATTTGGCAGAAACCACTTTAATGTGGAAAAAAGCTGCTTGGTTTCAGCAAAACCAAAGTTCTTAAAAAACAAAAGCTTCAGGATCAATTCACTAGTTTAACATACCTAATATAACTCACTGACAGTAATATGTGAGGCATAAATTAGGGCTGTGTACCGCTTTGCAAACCCACTTCTTCCCAGTGATTTGATAAAAATATCCAAACAGTTTATAAGTAAATTAGATTTGTGCCTAAATTAATGTCTGCACGGTGCAATGACATTGACCAGAGCATGGGTGTTCCCAAAGTACTGAAAGAAAAGCAATTGATGCAAAAGTTGTTTTTGCCCTTGAGATGTGTTCTGTTTGATCTCACAAGTAGAACATTTTAAGTTGGCTGCTGAAAACATCATATCTCACCTCCTTACATTTGGAAATTTGTCATGGAAACTTGGAGGAACTTAGAAACACCAAGCACAAAATCCAGAGTGGCTGCTCCTGGTATTAGTAACTAAAGGTATGCCGGACTTAAAGACCACTGGTCACCAGCATCCTTTGCTCTACAGCCAATATTTTTAACCAATAACCATTTTCTATTCCCTAAATTTTCACCATGAGACCCAAATGTGAGACATGCCGCTTTAATCTGTTGACATCCAGGTCCAAATGAAAACAAAGCCAGTATGAATGAAGCTGGCTTTGGGATGCTGAGCACTAAAAACACCCGACTGTGTTTGTTTTGAGTAGTAAACCATCACCATAAAATAAATAAATACATTAAAAAAAAATCACTGTTGATAAACACAGGCCTTTATACTGCAGGATAATCCAGAGGAGTCAGCGTCTCTGCTTTTTGCCTCTTTACGGTTAAATCTCATTATGTGGCTGCAGCAGAGAAATGCATCTAAGAGAAAACTTTGCACCAACTGCGATGATGCATATATGATATATAATATTATGTGCTGTCCTTGCATTGAATATAAACTGTTAGTGATATGCCGTCTTGAAAATATTAATCATGGGGCACTTTTTTATATTCATAAACCAGCCATTTCAAGAAATTATTTCAGCTTTATCTCATCAGAAATTAATCTGATATAAAGTACTTTTTTTTGCTGTGATCATCATAAACCTACACTCACCGGCCACTTTATTAGGTACACCTGTCCAACTGCTCGTTGACACTTAATTTCTAATCAGCCAATCACATGGCGGCAACTTAGTGCATTTAGGCATGTAGACATGGTCAAGACAATCTCCTGCAGTTCAAACCGAGCATCAGTATGGGGAAGAAAGGTGATTTGAGTGACTTTGAACGTGGCATGGTTGTTGGTGCCAGAAGGGCTGGTCTGAGTATTTCAGAAACTGCTGATCTACTGGGATTTTCACGCACAACCATCTCTAGGGTTTACAGAGAATGGTCCGAAAAAGAAAAAATATCCAGTGAGCGGCAGTTCTGTGGGCGGAAATGCCTTGTTGATGCCAGAGGTCAGAGGAGAATGGCCAGACTGGTTCGAGCTGATAGAAAGGCAACAGTGACTCAAATAACCACCCGTTACAACCAAGGTAGGCAGAAGAGCATCTCTGAATGCACAGTACGTCGAACTTTGAGGCAGATGGGCTACAGCAGCAGAAGACCACACCGGGTGCCACTCCTTTCAGCTAAGAACAGGAAACTGAGGCTACAATTTGCACAAGCTCATCGAAATTGGACAATAGAAGATTGGAAAAACGTTGCCTGGTCTGATGAGTCTCAATTTCTGCTGCGACATTCGGATGGTAGGGTCAGAATTTGGCGTCAACAACATGAAAGCATGGATCCATCCTGCCTTGTATCAACGGTTCAGGCTGGTGGTGGTGGTGTCATGGTGTGGGGAATATTTTCTTGGCACGCTTTGGGCCCCTTGGTACCAATTGAGCATCGTTGCAACGCCACAGCCTACCTGAGTATTGTTGCTGACCATGTCCATCCCTTTATGACCACAATGTACCCAACTTCTGATGGCTACTTTCAGCAGGATAATGCGTCATGTCATAAAGCTGGAATCATCTCAGACTGGTTTCTTGAACATGACAATGAGTTCACTGTACTCAAATGGCCTCCACAGTCACCAGATCTCAATCCAATAGAGCATCTTTGGGATGTGGTGGAACGGGAGATTCGCATCATGGATGTGCAGCCGACAAATCTGCGGCAACTGTGTGATGCCATCATGTCAATATGGACCAAGCTCTCTGAAGAATGCTTCCAGCACCTTGTTGAATCTATGCCACGAAGAATTGAGGCAGTTCTGAAGGCAAAAGGGGGTCCAACCCGTTACTAGCATGGTGTACCTAATAAAGTGGCCGGTGAGTGTATAACCTCCTTTTAATGACCTGAAGATTTAACATTATCTCTCATGTGTCACCAAATCACTGTAAACTTAGTAAGTTTGGAGTTTCTTAAGTTTATGAGGCGAGTGTAAAAGTGCCTGTGAGCACACTTTTCTCCCCTTTGGTTGAAGACTTCTCTCAACACACAGTTTTTGTTGGTAATAAACTCAGTTAGGCAGAGATAACAGAAGGGTTTGTGTTTACCAACAAGTGAGGGTGAAATTTCCCACCTTTCCAAGACAAATATGTACTCTCCCACACTTCACTATCACAGAGGGAGATAAAGATGGTCGCTGATAATGGCTCAGAGACGGAGAGCAAGAGGGAGGCCAGATTTGGGGTGTAAACAGTGGTTGAATACGCCGACAGTGTGAACACAGCTGATAGTGTTTAAGTCACACTGTCTCTCCTCTTTGGTCCTGCATTGTTCTCCGCTGCCTCAGGCTGTGTTTTACAGCATAATTAGAGTTATTTCACACGAAAACACCCTCACGCTTTACATTCCCATCTGTTTGCCTCTTACTTCTTCTCAAATACGCAAACTGGAGGACATGGTTGGTTTTCAGGGGATTTTCATTTATGTGATGCTGTAAATCATTAGACCATGTTCATATTCTTTTAATTCAGTTTCTCAGAATGGCCAATTATACAAACATCATGGTCTTGAACTTGTTTCAGTGACAGGAAACACAAATCTAGAGACTCTTTTGAGGAAAACTTTTTCAGCCTGGATGCACATCTCAATTAATGAGGTTAATTTGCAACAGGTTAGTGACATGACTGTGTATGAAAAAGACATTCAGAGAGTCTGAGTCGCTAAATTGGAAAAAAAGACACAGGGTTAAGGTCCTTACATACACGGAGCTTTTTTTTCATGCGATTATTGCGGACGTCAATATTTTTTTTCGAACCCGTATCCTGTCAATACAAGCGTTCACATAAGCAACATTTTCCCATCCTGCAATATTGCCGAATTTATTTTTTCGGATCACGGTCGATTTTTCTAAGGTTTCGCATACTGTGTGTCCACTTCTGACCAATCAGATTGCATGTTGTTGCAACATCAGATTCACCGTCATAGCGTTGGATGATAGTTTGTGTGCTTTAACAGTTTTTGGATTAAAACCAAGGCTAGATGATCCTGATCTTCAGACTCTCAGGTTACACTGCACTAAAAACCAATCTGAGTCTGCAGTGGAAATCACTGCAAGGGCTCAAAATCACTTCCATAAACCTTTTGACATGCATCCACAAATGCATGTCAAAAAGATCCCAAGCAAAGAGGAAATGAGATATGAACATGATCCAGAAACACCAGAGACTTCTCTGGACCTGAGCCCATTTAAAATGAGCTTGGGACCACTGGAAAACTGTCCTGTGGTCTAATGAATCAGAATTTGACATTCTTTTGGAAACCATGGACCCAGCATCTAAAGAGTAGAGGGACCACCGACTTGTTACCAGCTCTCAGTTTAAAGCCAGCATCTCTGATGGTATTGGGATCATGAGTCTCCATAGCATGTGTAGCTTACACACCTGCAGAGTCTTAATTAATGCTGCACAGTATAAACAGGTTTTGGAACAACATCTGGTGTCATCAAGACAATGAGTTTTCATGGGAAACCAGACAATGATAAACCACATTTACAGGGATTACAGCAGCATGGTTCTGCAGTAGAAAGGTCCTGCTGCTAAACCAGCCTGATTGTAGTCCTGACTTGTCACCCATTGGTAACTTTTGGGCATGGTGAAATGAAACTACAAAGGAAGACTTAACTGTTAAGAAGCTGAAATCCTACATCAGGCAAAATGGGACAGTTCTGTCTTTGAACTCTTGAAACTGGTCTTTTTGGTTTCCAAATGCTTTCAGAGTGATGTTAAAAGTAGAGAATCTGACGTCCTTGTCCCAACTTTTAAAAACTTTTTGGGTCACTTTGGCCCCAAAAGACAGAGTGTAATGACCCAAACTCCAAATGTAGGCCTCAAATGGTATCCTGCTGACCACAAGATTTGTCATGTGTTGCTAGCTGTGTCACCTGTGTTATCCACAAAGGATGTCTCCATCAGCTTTTTTGGCCCCTGGGCCTGCTTCTTTAGTATTTAGTATCTCTGAATACTGAATCCCAATCAAATACTTTGAATTAACTAAAAGATGTCTTCAGCTTATTCTATGTAGAGGAATAAATCTAGTATACAGTAAGGGTTAGCATGGGACACTTCCAAGCTCCAAAGGTCTGTTTTAAAACTTACAGCAGTCACATCATGTTTTGAATTACCTTGCATGTTGTCTCAAACTTGGAGTGGTGAAACATCAGGACTTGCTGTGGATCTTACTCTAATATTGCACCTTCACTCTAACATTTCTGGCAAACCGAGTTGATCATCTCAAATTGCTGATCGCCAACCAGGAAAAAAAACATCTCCATCAACTTCAATCTGATAGTTGAGATCCGGATCAGGACATCCTTAATGAGCACCTGTATTTAAGTACTAAAATGCAGATCTGGAAACACTTTGTGGCAAAGTGCCAACGCGTCAAATGAACCATCTGGCATCCTCTAAAAACAGGGTTCATCTTTATCACCACATCCCCTGCCATCATCTTCCCCTTTCCTCCATGGTGTTTTATGCTGTAAATGTCATCACCAAGGATGGCTGACAGATGATTTAACACACACAATCCTCACAAACACACATCAATATCAAACCCATGCTTTCCTAATCAGCTTATCCTTCTCCTGCTCTGTCTCTCACCCCACTTGTAGTGTAGGATTGATATCTGATTATGTTGGGTCACTCATCCAGATGGACCCGTGTTCAGACACCCACCCGCCCCACCATATACCACAACTGACCTCTGACCTCATATGGTGTTGCCTTGGAAACCTGTTCCATGGAGATGAGGAGAGCAGAGATGGAGAGGATGGGAGAGACCACGGGGAAGGAAGGGGGAGGTTTCTGTGTTTGATATTCTGGGCCAATCTCATGGCTGGTTAAGCTCCATGAATAGAGAGTGAATCCCCCTCCCTCATTCCTCACTGTCTCCTCTCTGTGTCTTTTCTCGCCTCGCTCTTCTCCTCAGCCTGTTTTCTTTCTCTGCTCTGGTGCCAGACAGATGGTTCAGAAAACAAACATTTGTCTGAAGTTCGGAGAGCAGCCTGTACCTAATAAATAAACTGGAGGAAGCAGGAGACTTTGTAGAAAGACATGTCCTTTGTGGGTACAGGCGCACTTATTCATCGCATGTTTACTTAATGACACTGGCTCCTCGCCATTTTTCAAGCTGGAACACCCATGTACTCTTGGAGAAATAGATACCATTATGGGACAGTTTGGTGACGCTGATGCAGCAGAAGCTGTAATGATACTGCAAAAGGAACATTCAGGATTTTTTTTTAAATATTTTGTATTTGCGCAGGAGGCAACATCCAGTTAAATCTTCTTCTGAATAGCTCGGGCTCCTAATTGATGATTTTCTGTCTTTTAAACTTCATAGCAGTTTAAAGAAGTTGACACTGTGGCTGGGCCTCTGATATAGAAATAAGTCTGTTTTTTTTTATTTTGCTTCAAAGAAACAACTATTTCTTTTCCTACTTTTATGCCTGTTGATGTGATTATATTTTATGTATGCATGTTATATCTCACATCCTTCACTCTCTGAAAACAGTTTTTACGGGGCTCTGAGGCTCATTGCGAATCAAGTCTCATCACTATTTACAGAGTTGGCAGATCTGCATTGTGTACCCCTAAACTAAATCGCTGTCTCTTTGAATTAGGTAATTTCTAACTTGCTCCCCTCTTATTTAAATGATCTCATTGACTTGAAAAACCCTTGAAGCTTCAGTCTCTTCTAGTAGTGCTTAGTTTTGCTTGCTCTCCCCAGAGTGTGACTTGAAATGGATAATAGGGGTTTTAGGTATGCTGCCCTGCAGCCCAAAAAGTCCTGCAAGAGGATTTGGGTCTGAGGGAACTACTTTCTCTGAATGTTTTCAAAAGCAGATTGAAGGTGTTAGAGGAAGATGCATCAGGCTGTAAATGCTTTAAATGATGAGGTGAGAAGGAGAAAGAAGTGAGGGAACGTGGAGACTGAGCAGAGTGGGTCTGATCTTACAAGGTGAGACTCAATCTTATTGCAAACCTGTGTTTGGTCTTTGTAAATATCATTAAGAGAATGGTCTACACCAGTGATTTCCAATTGATGGATCACAACCCACCTTTGGGTCGTGGATCTGTTTTCAGCAGGTCGCGACGCAGATGCTCGCGACCCACTGAAATTACATCCTGTGCTTTTATTTTGAAGGACACTGTTTGTGCAGCACTGTCCTCTAATTAGCCTGGATCAGATGAGTCTGGATTGTGTCAATGAAACAACTGCAGGCTTAATTAGGAGTTTATGCCATGACCTCTCAGATAAGATTGGCTTTCTGAAGTTACTTTGGTGGAATACAACCTAATATCTTATGTTAATGCAATTATTATTGACATGAATCTCATCCAACCCCACTTCAAAATAAAGCTAAACTATCCCTGTAACAGCAGCAAAGAAACAACAAGCTGAAATAACTGATCAGAATTGTAAACTTTAAGACAAGCATAGGAATCATTAATTGGGATTTTTCTGTGTTACTTGTGTGTTAGCGAGCCACTAATTTCCCTCTTCGATGTAGCACAAAGAGTCACCAAACACCAGATTTTCCAAAATACATAATTTTCATTCTCAAACGTTGTGCTCCCAGAGGATACAGACACATAGTCGAGCATTAGAGGTCTGTTAGTGTTTATCGTATGTGATCAATTACACCTCCCACTTCACTGCCTGCACCCCCAACACATGGACCCACACCTTCAAATATAAGTACTTCAACCTTCATGTGACGTGTTCACATCTACAGTTAAAGAGCCTCTTCCTCAAAATGGAAAATTTTATCGCAGACAGAGTAGGCTTTTCAAAATTTCACAATAACTTTAAATATCTAAAGTGTTTGAAGTAAAAAAAAAAAAAAGATTCAGATCAACTTTATCTCTCACAATGTTAAACCTAAACACTCTCTTACTCTCTGTCTCTCTCACACACACACCCACGCACACTCACACAGTGAGGCTAACTGTAACAGAGGAGTGTTGACAGCAGCCTCCTCGGTAAATATTGAATTTAGCCAAGCAGGCTCAGTCTAATCTCCCAGCATGCACCGGGCTGACGCTCACTTATCCAGATGGACAGCTTTGCTGGGAGTTATTTGGTAAACAGTTCTCATATGTTCTGCTATGTTGCAATCCAGACAAATACACCGAGAACTGAAGCCAGAAAGTGGAGCCAACAACTTTTACAAGTCCTGAAAAACATCAGTTTGTTTGAAACAACACAGAACAGATAATATAGACTTGGGCACCACAATAAACTTTTGCATATAATAACTAAATTACACATTTAATTTACCAGTAAAGTTCGCTCAGGTGGGTCCACACTACGGCAAAACAGCTTCTTGTTTGGGTTTGAGGTAGAAACGCACAGCTGTGGAAAGGTAAGTTACTCTTGTATTAGCATTAACGCAGTTCTTCTCACTATTCCTCTTTTACTCTCATGATTTGGCAGACACAACACTTGAAAGTCCCACTATGATCTTTATTCTTAGTGGTCTTCAAATTTTGATCATGAGGTTTTTAGCCAAAATCACATTACCTGTGTCATTTTTAAAGGAATTTTCTTCTGCAGAGCCCCAGTAACTCATTGGCAATTCGCCTCTCAGTCTTGGGCAGAGATAGCGCTGCTCTGCGCACTCCTCTTCACGCTAGATTGTAGCCCAACATTGAAGCAGAAGTGGCAGGTAACATAGGAGCTACCCAGCTCTGAGACACTAATGTCTTTGGGGATATGATGAAAGCTAATATCATAATTCGCTTTCTTATGAGCATCACAATCTACTACTGCACACAATTGCTCCGCCATCATCCTCTCTACTTCTCAGGGTCCAGCCTGCAGAGCGGGGCACTGGGGGCAGGGCATGGACTTGTGACATAGAAAATCCCACCACTGTGTCTGAACCTGCCATTTGGTATGTGAGAGGTTTACAGTGATTTAAATGCAGAAATACTCAGAAATGCAGTTTGTACTCAGTTTTCTCATGATATGTCCTCTAACATCAGAAAAAAGTCATATGAACAGACAACAAGAAAAATAGGATTTTCATCGAGTGGGTATTTAAGGTGTCATATTTGTTTTTGAGAACTGTCAATCATGGTGTTGTACACATTTAGACTAAACCTATCAGGAAATAATCAACACATCAGCTGATCTCAAACCAATTATCTTTAAAGCATCCAGATGTGTAAGCATCAGAATGGGCATTGCTTATCCTACTACCTCTTCAAACTAGTTGTAACCCACCTCCACCCCAGCTCCTTCCTTTGGCTGTGTCTGATTTTACCACTGTCATATGTGTTTTTACTGATGCCTCTTTTATCTTTGCTGCTGCTATCCTTGCCTTGCCTTTCATGTATGCACAAAACATAAAGGAGAGGTGTGATCTACCTGCCTCGGGGTTTGATCTTCCACATGGAAGGGCAAGGAGGGCAACTTACTGCATGATAATGACTAATTGTCATGAAAGTGGTCCTGACTGTGCTGACTTTATAGTAAGCGAGATATACCAATACAGAAGACAGCTGCTCTTTGGACTTCAATACATTTTGTAACACATAACCTATGGACTTATCATCATAGCATATTTAGGTAACATCATGTCAGCTCAGTACTGGCCTTTCTAAAATTTCCCATGAATTTGTGCTGATTTTTAGTGCTGAGTTAAAAACACAGTTGACTCAAAATTGTCATTGCGCATTGTACAATAAATTTTTGTGCTTTTCTTAAATATTTTTAAAAGTATTTTCTTTTTAAAGGAAAACAAGAAAACAGTCGCATTCATCATATTTTCAAGTCTCACAAAAGGTGCAAGAAAAGCCGTTAAATGGAGGAAGAACGTTAGGGAGGAGAAATGCTTTCATTGCAGTCTTTTTTTGTGTATCATTTGAGTTATTGCACTTTTAGCCATAGTAACACATACAAGGTTTTTGCACTGTGGGTTTTACACAAAAGATTATTGCTCCATGAGTGACAACAAATGAACTACTTAGACTAATCAGAGTACAGAATCTGCATAAGCATTTAAAGAGGAGAGAGAGTGAAACTAAGCTGAGGATATAGACGTGAGTTCATCTTGTCAGTTTTCTCTTTTGATGGCGGCGAGCAGAAGTGTGAGAGATCTTGAAGGGTTTAGTTGTGCAAAGTATTCTCAAACACTGTCATGTGTAAAAGCACTGGCTGCTGTTAACTGTTTAAAGGCCGCATTGCTTTGAAGAACTGTCTCTTTGTCTGCTGGACGAGGATGGGGG